GCAGGGAGCGACGCGGGGAGACCTAAGACAAGACCGTGCTGGGACATGTGACGCAGACGCGGGAGAGCAGGGTGACCTAAGCGGTGGTGCCAGAGAAGGGAGGGGTGAGTGAGGGACCGACACGAGCAAGCTGCAGCGACCTGGGAGGACGCACCAACCGGGGGGGAAGCGGTGTGTAGGGTAAACAGACCGGACACCGGGTCCCGGGGGAACGTCGCAAGGGGGGAACCTGAGACAGCCTCAGAACAGACAGCGAACCGCTCGTGCCCGGGGAACGTGGTGGTGACGCCGAGGTCCTGGAGACAGCCGACACCAACCAGGTTCCTGGAGAACGAGGGAACGTGGAGGCCAGTAAGGGAGCCCGAGGGAACTGCCGGACAGGGAAGGGACGTAGAACTGCGCGCGACGACCGGACCCGCAGAGGGGTCAGCGAGAGAGACAACAGCAGGTGCAGCAAGCGGCGTGAGCGTGGAACGGTCGCGGAAGAAGCAGGCAGAAGCACCGGAGTCGAGAGTGAAGGACAGCGACGCAGTGGCGGGGGCCGGGGACGGAGCCGGTGCAGCAACTAGACTAGGCAACCTAGGCAGTCCTACGCCTGTCGCAGCAGGGGAAGCTAAGCTACACAAGGGTGAAACACCTAAACTAGAGTACACAGGGTAGTAAGATCCATCAACACTAGAAGCGTCAACATACAAAGCATGCAAAGCAGCACCTATCTGATCCATGTCTAACTCAAAGATCGGCACGCCCTGGCGGAGCAGGCTGTGCCAGTCAGGGAGGTCCGGGGCCGGGCCAAAGCGACGACGAAAAAGATCGTCGAGGCGGCGGAAACAGCGGGCGGTCGGGTGCGGGCGGCGGCACAGAGTGCCGCGGAGAGGCCCGGTCTGAAGCTGGTACTGGCAGGTCACAGCACTGGAGCCGCTGGTAGACGCCAAGCTGCGCGGGCCGCCACCACGGCCACCGCCTCCGGAGGTGCCGGGCCAACCAGGCGGGAGACGAGCCCACGGCTGCGGCGGGTGCTGCTGGGACGGCGGCTGCGGCTGGGGCTGGTCCTGCTGCTGCTGGGACTGCTGCTCCTGCCCACCGGTGGTAGTCCCCTCAGGCGGACTACCGTCACCACCACCACGACCACTACCACCTGCGTCACCACCCCTACCTCCCTGGCGGCCACGGCCACCGCGACGCGAGCGCTGCTGCGGGTGGACAGCAGCAGCCGTCTCGGTAAGAGGGGTCGCCGTGGCGACCGCAGCCGAAACGTCAGTGAACGTGCACGGGGATGGGGCACAGCCGTGAAAGATAGAGACTGGCGGCGCACCGCTCGACTGAGCGATAGTGCGCTGGCGAGTCTCGATCTCAGTGAGGGTGTCGACAAAGGCGGTCAGGGTGAGGTCACCCGGGTGCTGGCTAAGAAAGTGGTCGCGAGCACTAGCGAGGCGGTCTGGCAGGCGCATAGCGATAAAATAGAGCGTCATGCAGAAAGGAGGGGGGAGCGCAGTGAGCTGGGCAGCAGTGCTGGCAGTGCGATAGTGAGTATCTAGGGCACGCAAATGAGTGGCAAAATCTGCGACAGTAGGGAAGGCAGCCAGGTCTGGGAACAGCATCGGAAAGAGCAAGCGGCCAGCAGAAGCGGAGGCAGGGGTGGAATAGCGAGCAATAACGGCGTCTAAATAAGCTTTGGCCGTTTCAACAGTAGCAAAACGCGAGCGCTCAGACACAGGGAGGGCGTGACTAATAGCAACCTGAGCTACTGCATCGCGTGAGTCCCAGATCGCACAGGCCAGCGCAGCAGTAGAGAAAGCCTCACGGTCATCAGAGGAGGGGTCAGCAGGGAGGGGAGTAGGTGCAGGGGGACGGGGGAGCAAGCCATCAGCATGGACAACCAGAGAGTGGCCATCCTGGCGCTGACCTGTAAGCTGGCGGCGAAGATCGGAGAGCCAGGCGGCGAAGTCAACCGCGTGGCCCTCAGCGTCCAGGCGGAGCACAAAGTCAGCCATCGTGCAGGGTCAGCGGCACAGCTCCTCAGCGACACAGCGGCACAGCAGCACAGCTCCTCAGCGGCACAGGAGCACAGCGGCGCGGGGACACGGCGGCAGCACTCTCCAGTAGGGCAGCAGCTAGGCGTCCCAGCGCAGGCAAGCAGAAGACACAGGGCCCGAGAGGACACGGCAGGCCGAGCAGGGGAGGCGGGCAGGTGCTCTGGGGCCGGGCTGGTGCTGGGAGGGGCCAGGCTGGTGCTGCTGGGGCCGGTCGGGCACGAGGAGGGGCCGGGCAGCGCTGAGGAGAGGCCGGGCGGCGCTAGGAAGGGGCCGGGCGGCACTAGGAGGAGGCCGGGCGGCACTAGGAGGAGGCCGAGCGGCACTAGGAGGAGGCCAGGCGGGCGAGCGCTAACAGCAGGCGCGACAGGGGCCAGCGGGCGCGACGGGGCCTAAGGGGCGCGACGGGGCCCAGCGGGCACGACGGGGCCCAGGGGGGGCGCGACGGGGCCGAGGAGGCGCGACGGGGACCAGCGGGCACGACGGGGCCCAGGGGGGCCGCGACGGGGCCTAACGGGCGCGACGGGGCCCAGGGGGGGCGCGACGGGGCCTAGCAGGCGCGACGGGGCCTAGGAAGCGCGAAGGGGCCCAGCGGGCGCGACGAGGCCTAGGAGGGGCGCGACGGGGCTGAACGGGCGCGACGGGGCCCAGAGGGGGGGGGACGCGACGGGGCTTAGGAGGCGCGACGATGCCTAGGAGGCACGACGGGGCTCAGCGGGCTCGACGGGGCCCATGGGGGGCGCGACGGGGCCTAGGAGGCGCAACGGGGCCCAGCGGGGGCGCGTTAGGGCCTAGGGGTCGCGACGGGACCCAGCGGGCGCGACGGGGCCTAGGGGGAGCGCGACGGGGCCTAGGAGGCGCGACGGGGCCCAGCGGGCACGACGGGGCCCAGGGGGGGCGCGACGGGGCCTAACGAGCGCGACGGGGCCCAGGGGGGGCGCGACGGGGCCTAGGGGGCGCGACGGGGCCTAGGAGGCGCGACGGGCGGAAGCGGTAGGCGGGGGGATCCTAACCTAAGCGTGATACCATGTTAACGTAGAAACGAATGATTACTAGAGGTGGAAACCTAGAACAAATACTAGTTGGTTGTACTCACTAGAAGCATACCTCAGTCTAGCCTATAACTTCTACATAGATAATATGTATAAGTTGACAAAGGGTGCCAACAATGTCACCGATGCACTCTCTAGATCGTCTGCCCAAAAAGCCGCTGTCCTAATCGCGCAAACGAACTTGTTGCTTAGCGGACTACTTACCTACAGATATTCGCCCGATCCCTTTTCTGTAAATGATGGCCACCAGCAGGTTACGATTGCGAGAGGAGCCTATTACGTAAAAATGGGAACGGAGTGGATTTGGGTTCTGAGCTATCATCTACTTCGGGAACTATTAGTTCAAGAAGTCCACGATTCAAATTTATCAAGACATTTCGGGGTTGACAAAACTCTGACGGCACTGCACCAGTTTTATTATTGGTTGGACATGATGACGGACGTGCATAATACGTGGCCGCCTGTCCAAACACAGACATGAAATCCTCACGTCAGCGGTCAGCAGGACTTTTGCAGCCCCTGGAGCCACCCAAGCGACCCTGACAACACGTGTCAATGGATTTTGTTACAAGCTTGTTGGTCGGACCAAGTGGTAAAGACGCGGTTCTCGTCGTCATCGACCTCCTTACAAAAATGGCTCATTTCACGCTATGTCGCACGACGATTATAGCCAAAGAAACCGCTCACCTGTTCATCTCGACTGTCGTTAGCCTACACGGTATCCCTGCTGCGATCATCAGCAACAGAGATCAGCCATGTGGTTGAACAGGTTTGGAGAAGGCATCCGAGGACGCGGAGTGCTTCGGAGTGACGCAGAATGGTTAGGTGCGATGTGTCCGGGCCGAAGCTAGGGCTGATGTCGGCGCCGTGTGGGTTCAGCATACGCGGTAGCGGTGTAGCTTGCGAAGGAATGGAAAATTCATTACAATTAGTGTAAGGAATTTCCATTCCTTACTGAGTCGTACGCTAGCGCGTACACCCGAAATCCTTGACTCGTCACGTGCAGCCTCATTTGTCGGCCCTACCCTTTCCCGAGTCGCGTCCGGCACTGTCGCCACATTGCCAAACCTACCCACATCCCGAGGTTATCGACCCAGCATGCCAACCCCTATATAACCTCGTGCCTTCATTGCAGTAGAGACCTTGTATTCTCACGTTATATTTCATTGACACTTACTATATCATAGCATCTGGTATCAGATCCCGAGCTTTCCAGGAACCTTCTGTTTTCCCATTTACTTAGTTAAAGGTGGTCAGAGGGGATTAGCACAGCTGCACAGCAGTTGTCTTGGATCGTAAATATTTTTACGTCAACAAATACAGTGTGTGCGCTAGCTTTTGCCACATCCTGACCGCCATGGCCCCGGTAGACTCGACGGTTGAGGAACAGTCCACCTCGACAGCTGCGAACCCTGCCCGGGAAACTATGGACTTGGAAACATTAATAGAGCAGTTAAAGAATTTGACAAGCGTCATCAACGACCTCCGCGACGAGAACCAACGACTTCGCCAGGCGCAGGAGAAGCGTCCAAAGGAGCCGTGCGATGATGCACGAAGCGAGGCGGGTGAGCAGCAACCGTCTCTAGTGGAGCTCGCACGACTAGCGGCAACAGCCCCGCGCTCGACAAGTGGCGGCGTAAGATATCAGCAACCCGCTCCTTTCAACCCAGGTAATAAAGGCGTGACGGTGCGGCAGTGGATATTCGCCATGACTATCTATTGTAACGCGGCGGGCATCTGAGACGATCAGAAGCGGATCAGCCGCATGTTAACACTGTTGCAAGGGGCCGCCCTACAGTGGTGGAAGGTCATCGTCGACTCAGCGGCAAATCGCAGAGAAGGACAGCATGAGTGGTCCAAAGAATTCGGCGATGAAGACGAGGCAGACTTGTTGTTCGGTGCAACCCACATTCGCACGTGGGCAACATGGTGCGCAGAGCTTCGCAAGCGGTTTGAGCATGCTCCTGACTCAGACAAGGTACGCAAAACTCTACGCATGTGGAAGCAGGTGGGAACTTTGTCCGAGTACACTGCGTCATTCCTGACGTTGGTGGACAGATGTGGCTACATGCACGAGTTGGAGAAGGTCGACATGTACATGGGCGGCTTGAAGCCCAAAATCCAGTACCAGATAAAACTGCAACGCCGTGCGAAGCGGTTACAAGACTACATCCAGCTCGTCAAAGCCGCTGATTCGATCACGAAGCCGAGGACGAACTTCTACGACGGAGGTCGCCCTCGAGAATGGTACCAGCGCGCCAAGATAAAAGAGGTGGACGCAGTGGATATTTACGCAGTTGCTCTGCAAAATACGAGGCTATGCTACCACTGTGGCCGGCCGGGTCACATCCGACGCAACTGCCAAGAATTTATAGCCCTCCAGAATTCTATGGGAAGAAGCCGAGGACCGAGGACCGAGGAAATGGGTCGCGTCAGTAAGTACCGAGGACCGGGAAATGGGTCGCGTCAGTAAGTACCGAGGACCTTACTGACGGGCAGGCTTCTTTGCTCGAGCCACACAGTCTCCAACGGGTCGTGATCCCGATTGCTGCAATCGACTGGACCCAGACGAATAAGGGGGACGAAACTGTTGATCACCCTGTGTTGGTGGAGGGTAAAGTCAACGGAGTGTTATTGAAGATTTTCATTGATGGAGGCGCGAGTCACAGTCTCATGCAACTGGACAGGGCTAAGAAATTAGGTATACCCTTACTCAAGTGTCTACCCAAAATTGACGCCCGACTAGTGGACGGAACACCACTGGCAATGCGGGAATGAGTGGAGAACGTTGGTTTCACCTGTGGGGAGCATGTAAAATTTTGGATGGGACTGCTGGCGACTACTCTCGACGGGTGCGACATGCTGCTAGGATGCGATTGGTTGCGACGGTACAACCCGAAGATTGACTAGACGACGGGCGGCTGCAGTATCAAGCTCGATGGGATTTCCCGCGAGCTGCCCAAGTGGACGGGGCCTCGCATGCGAAGCATCCAAGTCCTTGCGATCACTTTCAAACGTGCGATGAAAGCTGGAGCTGCAGCATATGCCGTTGATCTTCGCGAGGTGACATCGACAATCGAGACCGAAGGTATCGAGAAGCTATGCAAGGCCGTCCCTCCGGACTTATCGGACCTGATTCAAAAATACCCAATGATTTTCCCGGACGACCTGCCAGCTGGACTCCCGCCGAGCCGACGTGAGGACCACCGAATCGAGCTGGAACCAGGCGTCCAACCGATGGTACAGAGCCAATTTTGGCTCAGCCAATGGAGCTGGAGGAATTACAGCAGCAGCTGGATTACCTTCTGACGAAAGGTTTTATTCGGCCCAGCATGTCTCCATACGCCGCCCCAATACTGTTCACGCTAAAGAAGGATGGAGGATTCATAATGTGTATCGACTACCGCGCGCTCAAGCGGATCACCATCAAGTCGCGTTACCCGATCCCACGAGCCGACGAACTTCTCGACCAACTTTGCGGCGCCAAGTTTTTCTCGAAAATCGACTTACGAGGAGGTTACCACCAGATTCGTGTTGCAGCCGAGGATTGTCACAAGACGGCGTTTCGCATCCGCTACGCACCTATGAGTACCTGGTGATGCCTTTTGGCCTCACGAACGCACCCTCGACCTTCCAAATAACCACGAATGGAATTTTTAGGGAACTCTTGGACAAATGCGTCATCATCTACCTTGACAACATACTCATCTACAGCCGCAGCAGGGAGCAGCACTTACAAGATCTTGATGCAGTCTTCACGATGCTGCTAAGAATCTCCTCATCACCAAAGGGTCTAAGTGCGACTTTCTTAAGCAGGAGTTGGAATTCCTGGGCCACGTCGTCTCTACAGAAGGAGTGAAAATCGACCCCAAGAAAATCAAGACCATACATGAATGGAAGCCGCCAAGCAACATCAAGGAGCTGCAAAGTTTTTTTGGATTCGTCAATTACGTCAGCCGGTTTATCCCCAATATGGCCGGGTTATCTGCCCCTCTAACTGACCGACTCAAGGATCACGATTGTTTTTGGTGGGGAGAGAAGCAACAAGCTGCATTTGATCAACTGAAGATCGCCCTCACGTCGCCGCCCGTCCTTCGCATCTCCGATCCTGACCGTCCATACGAAGTCATCACCGACGCCAGTGACATCGCCATCGGTGCAATTCTTCTACAGGACTTTGGCGACGGATTACAGCCGGTCGCCTACGAATCACGAAAGCTGCAGGGCGCAGAGAAAAATTATACAGTACACAACAAGGAAATGTTGGCGATCGTCCACGCGTTCAAGACCTGGCGGTGCTACCTGACAGGCGCTGACGTCACTGTACAGACCGACCACAAATCCCTCCAACCGAACCCAACCGAACCCAACCGGACCCAACCGAACCCAATCGAACCTCAACCAGCGTCAAATCCGATGGCTCGATTTCTTCGAGTCAAATTTCCACTAGACCATCACCTACAAATAGGGCGCCAACAACACTGCTGATGCCCTGACCCGACCCACTGCCCATACAGCTGCCATACTAGTCGCCCAGACCAGCCCACTGCTTACCGGACTATTTACCCACGGCTACAAAATCGACCCCTTCTTCCGCTCCGCCATTCACCAACAGCATACCACCGCTACCGGACACTATTTTAATAAGCGCGACACTTCCCGCATCTGGGTTCCCGGCTATGATTTACTTCGTCCCCTTCTAATCCGGGCATTTCGGAGTCGACAAAACCATGAAGACGTTGCCGCGTTATTATTACTAGCCGAACATGGCCGACGACGTGCGCAAGTACGTGTCCTCCTACACCGCCTGCCAGATCATGAAATCATCACATCAGCGAGCAGCCGAAAAACTACAGCCATTGGATTCGCCCGAGAGACCCAAGCAAAATGTCACGATGGACTACGTGACAGGACTGCCAGCCGGTCCCAGCGGAAACGACGCCATCCTCGTGGTCGTCGACCGACTCACGAAAATGGCGCACTTCATTGCCTGCCAACAGAAAATTACAGTTGAGCAAACTGCCCAACTGTTCATCGTCAACATCATCTGACTGTACGGATTGTCCACGGCCATTATTTCCGACCGAGACCCAAAATTTACATCGAATTTTTGGCGCCACCTGTGGGACCAATTCGGCACCAAACTACAGTTTTCCTCCGCATACCACCCACAGACCGACGGGCAAACTGAACGAGTCAACCAAACTATGAAGCAACTCATTCGGACTACCTGTACTGACCCACAGACATGGGAGAAATCCCTACCGCTGTTGGAATTCGCGTATAATAACGCGCCTTCCGCGACTCATCAATCCCCCCATTTTTCCTCAATTACGGACAGGACCCAGCGGTACCCTCTACACCAAACATCGAGACACCCGTGCCCCGATCCCAACGATTTGCCGAAGACATCCTCGCAGCCCGAGAAAAAACTGCTGAAGCAATCCGGAAAGCCAACTTGGTCGCAAGCCGACAAGCCGATCGTCATCAACATGATGCCACTTACAAAGTGGGAGATCTTGGACTACTCGATACTCGTAATTTGCGCCTGCCGATCCCGAGCAAACTCCGAATCCGATTCGGTGGTCCCTTTCAAGTGACCAATATGGTGACACCTGTCACCGCTCACCTCCGACTCCCGGCGGATTGGCGTCACCACCCGGCTTTCCACGTCAGCCTACTACGACCCTACATTTCCAGTTCGTCGGATTTGGCACGTCAACGTATCGCACCGCAGCTGACGCCCCTGCAGGAGTCGACGACCGAGCCCTTGAAGATTCTCGGCCATCGAATCACAACGCAGCAGAACCGACGAATGGTGGATTTTCTCGTCCGATGGCGCGATCGGACGTCTGAGGATGACAGCTGGGTGCCCCTCGCTGACATAGAATCACACCCGATTCAAACAGCGTATTATCAGCGTCGGAATGTTTCTGATGCCCGTGGTCTCGTTTAGGAGAGGAGGGGGGGGGGGGGGAGGGGGGGGTAGTGTAAGGAATTTCCATTCCTTACTGAGTCATACGCTAGCGCATACACCCGAACTCCTCGATTCGTTACGTTCGGCCTCATTTGTCGGCCCAACCCTTTCCCGAGTCGCATCCGGCACTGTCGCCATATTGCCAAACCTACCCACCAGGCATGACGTTTCAAAAAAACCCCCCCTGAGCTGTCGACAAAAAAAAAAAAAAAAAAAAAAAAAAAACCTGAGGGCTCTGTTTTCAAAAATTGCCTACCCTGATTTGAAAGTGTTCAGAAATCAGGAACCCTGAAAATCCCAGGGTTCACCGAACGCGTTCAGGGTTGCCTTCAACAATGGCTGCACTGAATTGCCTATCATGTCTAGCAAGGAAATCGAAAAGGAGGGGAGGGGGGAATAAAAAATGAGGGGAAAAAGGGGAGGGAATCAAACCGAGGGGAGGGGGAGAGCGAAACGGAGGGGAAGGGGGAGGATGGAAACATAGGGGAAGAGAGGAAGCGAAACGGGGAGGGAAAGGGGGGGGGGGGGGGGGGGTCGAAATACAGTAGAGGGGAATGGGAGAAGCGAAACGGAGGGGAAGGGGGGATCGAAACGGAGGGGAGGGGGGAAGCGAAACGAAGGGAGAGGGGGGGATCGAGGTGAATGGGGTAGTGGCAGAAACCTCCCGCGCTTGCAGCACCCTGGAAGGGAGGGACCCCTCTTCCTTCCAACGTGATGGGCGTGATTCGAATCGAGGACGTTAATCATACGCGATCATCTAACGGCTGAAAATTGTCGAAACGTTCGCAATTGATCGTGGCCATCAAAGTTTGATGGACTTTCAGTTGACCACACAGTCAATAAGAAAAGTTTCCTTAAGGGGGGAGCATTGCAGCTAATACCCTTAAAATTTTAGGGTTAGGTACATTGCCAGCTACGAAACCTACAGTACCTTGTTCATGTTGATGACTTCACCGTTAGCCTTTTTAAAACCACAGGCTAAAATAGCAAAGGGGGGGCTTCAAGAGCGCCGTTCTTGAAGATGGTGTTAAAATTATATAAGTTATAATTTAATATAGGCTTGGTAGGTTGTTACTGAACCTTTCTGTAGGGGGTACAAACCCCTCCTTGTACTCCCCTCTCTTCCTAATCCGTTTTTCCTCACGCCATTCCATGGCGGTCTTCTTACTAGTATCCTAGCCAACCTAGCCTCCTAAGTTTAAGAACCTTTAGTCCTAAGTTTCTAAGATGGTATCAGAGCCGGTCGTGTCCACCGGACCCTCTCCCTACGTTCCCGTTGCGTACTCCTACTGCATTCGCAGCCTTCGCGGTTTTCTGCCAGCCTGCCGTTGCGGCGCCAGGATGTCGCGACGGCCCCTTGGTGCCTGCCGTCGCGGCACTAAGTTGTCGCGACGGCCCCTTGTTGCCTGCCGTCGCGGCGCCAGGATGTCGCGACGGCCCCTTGTTGCCTGCCGTCGCGGCACCAAGATGTCGCGACGGTCCCTCGTTGCCTACCGTCGCGGCGCCAAGGTGTCGCGACGGCCCCTTGGTGCAGCCGTCGCCCCTCCGCCTCGCCGCTGCGACATTGACGGTGCGCTGTGGCGGCGTCTGCGGCAGCCGACGGCATCGTCGGGCTGCGGCCGGCCGAGCAACGTCTGTGGCGTCGCCGGGCCTGCCGCCCGCTCGCCACAGACGAGCGTCCCTCAGGACGACGTCCTCCCGCCAGTAAGCGCCGCGCCATTTATGGCGCGTCGCTGAAGACTCGCCTCGCCCCGCCCCCTCCCCTCCCCCCCCCCACCTGCACCTGCTTCCCCTGCATCCCCCCCTTTCTTGCTGCACCCGATGACTGCCATGTGAGGGACCTCTCCACCGCCGAGGAGACAGGACATGCCGCCGAGAGGGCAGGGGCCGCCGCACCAGCCTCTGTCGTTCGAGCCCCCCGGCGCCGCCGCTGTTGCCGCAGGCCTGGAGCCGCCGCACACCGCCGCCGCCGCCGCTGTTGTCACTGTCGCTGCTGCCGCCATTGCCGTCTCAAGGGGCCGTGAGACCTACCCTCTTTCGGAGTCGTTTCGGCTGCTGCTGGGAATGGGGGTGCTGGGCTAGGGGGTGTGGGTGTGGGTGTGGGTGTGGGGGTGTGCGTGGGCTTGACACTACCAAGCCTAGGGGGTGTGTTAAAATTATATAAGTTATAATTTAATATAGGCTTGGTAGGTTGTTACTGAACCTTTCTGTAGGGGGTACAAACCCCTCCTTGTACTCCCCTCTCTTCCTAATCCGTTTTTCCTCACGCCATTCCATGGCGGTCTTCTTACTAGTATCCTAGCCAACCTAGCCTCCTAAGTTTAAGAACCTTTAGTCCTAAGTTTCTAAGAGATGGCTCTTTTGAAAAAAATCGGGTTCCCAGCACTATTTTGCGAGGTGCGTTTTTGGGCAGCTGAACAATGATAGAAACGTAGTGGCGCCGATTTGAGGCGTGTGCGACGAGGCGGGAAACGCGCGCGCGACTCATTTGACTTTTTGCCAACTTGGTGAAACGAAACAAAAAAATACTGTACCTCGGAAGTATTCGGCGTACGTGTTAAGGCTTCACATTACGAAGCTCCCTCGACCGCGACTCGCGACTAGGGTGGAGGTGAACTGTGCAACTTGTGTGCCGAACAGCCACATGGGTTGTGCGAAATGCGACCCAGGTAAACCTCGGGTTAAAAACCTATTGCACACCCATGGAGCTCTTGAAAAAACTGAGCCGTGTGAGCGGTCAGTCGCAACTTGATTCGCCGAGCAACTGGCGCCAAATCAATCGTCGTGCACCAATAACGTAGCAAAGGTACTTCGCATTACAAACAATTTCGGGTACCATACCATTTCAGAAATAGAAAACGCACCAAAGGGTCTGCCCCAAAACGAAACATTTTTTCAAGAGCTCCGCTGGTGTGCTATTCTAGCCTGTGGTTTTAATGGGTTGTAGGAGTGTGGGAGGGGGGACGTGTGTACAATAGGACTTAGCCGATTTCTTTGTGTGCTGTCACTGCCTATCAAGACTTAGCTAATTTTTGTGGGTTGTTGGGTGTGTAGGGGGAATGTCTGTACGACACATGACTTAGCTGATTTTTGTGGGTTGCTTGGTGTGTGAGGGAATGCTTGTACAAGAGGACTTAACTAATTTTTTTAGGTTGCTGTTGGAAATATCTCGAGAACTTAAGCGTTTCTGAAGTGTAACACTACACTCGAGGAAGGTCGTAACGGGTACGCGAGTCAACGGAGGTTACACGAGGGGATGGACAAAGAACACGAAAGGACTCGAAGGGTCGCAGCTGGAGGTTGCGACTGACCGTTACAACTGCAAGGATGGTAACCGAAGCGACAACCGAGTCGCTGTGCGACTCGATAACCGCTCTTCAACTGTATTCTACAACTGCTTTACTTTCCTACTTTCTATATATTGCTGTATGCTTGTTCTCTTAATCAATCACTTGTTCTCACATACTAGTACAAGGGTTCAACTACTCAACTTCCGCTGCACTACTCAAAGTCTCCTTTTACAACTGGGACTTAGTCTCTGGAAAGATCATAAGGGCATTTTCTCAGCCCAATAGTTGCTGTTTGTGGGGGGGGATGTCTCTGGAGATTAGGGACTTCGCCTAAATTTCAGCGTTGTGAGCCACATGGATGTCGCACTCAGGGTTCGTACACGTTCCTCCCTGAAAACTCAGTATTGGCACAACGCAAACCCAGAAATCCCAAGTGTTCAGAAACTAGCAACCCTGAAGGAGCTAGGGTTAAAATAATCCCAGCCCTGAAAATTAAGGGTTGGCAAAACAAATACCCTGTGAAATCAGGGAATCGGGGTAAAATACCCTGATAACGACAGCCCTGCTACCCACGTCCCGAGTTTATCGCCCCAGCATGCCAACCCCTGTATAACCTCGTGCATTCATTGCAATGGCGACCTTATATTCTGATGTTATATTTCATTGACACTTACTATGTCATAACAATTACAATCACTCATAACGGTTTTGATATCAGTAACTCGAGATCTATTTACCAGTGCCTCGATGTCGCAGGTCTGGCAGGGTGAGTCGTCAAAATGGCTGCGTGGAATTCGGCGAGCCTCTGAAAATGCTGTCAACTCGTGCCCTCGGTTTTCCCTCATCGTGCTGGCGGGCGAGTCGCGGTGGCTTGGGTGTTCGGGTCGCGCGGGGCGAATTGGAAATTCGTGGCAGGAGGGGGAGGGAGGCGACGGATGGGGCAAGGGTGGACCAACTCTGGAGTCTGCCTGCCCACTGACCTACCCACTCCACACAGCCAGTGATCACATGCAACCTGCCGCTGCCAAGGGCTGGGCCTTCCACGCTCCAGGTCGGTGAGAGGTGAGCTAGTAAGCTAGACGGACACGTGAGTAGGAGGAACGCGAGACACGCAAGCTTCAGACTTGGTCGCACATCCGTCCATTGGTTCCTCGCAAAGCAGTGATGAACTGCGAGCAGACGCTTCACGTCTAGCGGTGACGGTGTATTGTTTACTATTCTCGTGATTTCGAAATCCGCAAGACGCATGGGGACGCATCGCACTGCCGTCTGCCGTCTGCGACGGCCGCAACAGTGCAGCTCGCCCACCTGCGTGCTGCTCGCGAGTCTGTTGTGCTTGGCCGCGGTTCGCGCGGCTTCCATTGGCGTGGGGCAAGCAGCGCGGCAGTCGCGGTACTTCCTTCTCCCCGGCAACCCCTACAACGCCAAGTGCCTCGACGGCAGGTGAGGTATCCCGCCGCGGCAGCTGTTGTGAGCGATGTGACAGCGGTTGTGTCGCAGCGGGGTAGCGGCGGCACGGTGGAACCCGAACCAGTGGCTCGGCGAGCTGCGTGGCGTGGCGTGGCGTGGCGTGGCGTGGCGCACACGTCTCGCGGAAACAAGATCGGGTACCCTCCGGGCACACGGCTCGTTCCAATGCCTCCCCATTGGCGCAGACCCGATATGAGTTCTGTGCCCTTGCAACTGTTTGCGGTTACGACCCTAAACTTAAAACCACGCGCACAAATACCAAATTCCATGTCAATCTCGAAGCTCTGATTCCAATACCCCCTCGCGTCCTCGCGCACAACGTTCCACCGTGCTTCATGTCCCCACACGCTCCCGCGTGCACTCCCCTTCTCCTTCCCCTCCCTCCTGCCCACTCGCAGCGCGTGGTGGCCAACGCACCTGCCACTTGCACGGCGTAGTCGCGGTGGGCGCCGCAGGCGGAACGACCGCATTGCCCGTTACCCAATTTCTGGCCGTCCGTTAACTTCTTGCCCCCTCCCCCACCCCTTCCCCCATTGCCCTTGTTGCGCCCGCGCAGCCCGCCCGCGTACCAGTACCGGCCCGGCTACGGCGCCGCCAGCCAGTCGTGGCACATCCACCTGCCGGGGGGCGGCTGGTGCTCCTCCCTAGAGAAGTGCTTAGAGCGCGCCAACACCAAGCTCGGGTCCACACGTGGCTTGCAACGACTGGCTGGCGGCGTGCCAACGGGGCAAAGCGCAAGCCGCAGCAGCAGCAGGGCGAGCAACGATAATGGCGACCCCGACGCTGTGAGTCGCTGTCCAAGTAGCAGTCCTCCTCCCCTGCCTGCCTGATCCACTGCCATCTCCCCTCAAGTCCCATCCCTCCATGCCATCCATACATCTCATGCATCCGCCCCATCCATCCCATCCATCCCATCCATCCCATCCATCCCATCCGTCCCATCCGCCCCATCCGTCCCGCCCATCCTCGCCCCGCCCATCCTCTTCAGCCCCTCGCGGGCGTGCAAGGCGCAGAGGGCACCCACCGCCCATCACTCCGCCCTGCCCTCCACATTCCCACCAGCGCCACCAGGCATAACCACTTTCTTTTCCCCACCCGTTTCTCACCTCCCATTCGTCCATCCCAGCCGTTCCCTATCCCAGCCGTTCTCTATCCCAGCCGTTCCCTATCTTAGCCGTTCCCTATCCCAGCCATTCCCTATCCCAGCCGTTCCCTATCCCAGCCGTTCCCTATCCTAGCCGTTCCCTATCCCAGCCGTTCCCTATCCTAGCCGTTCCCTATCCTAGCCGTTCCCTATCCCAGCCGTTCCCTATCCTAGCCATTCCATATCCCAGCCGTTCCCTATCTCAGCCGTTCCCTATCCTAGCCGTTCCCTATCCTAGCCGTTCCCTATCGCAGCCGTTCCCTATCGCAGCCGTTCCCTATCGCAGCCCCCTGGGACGCAACAGCGCCCCATCCCGCAATGACCGTCCCTCCGCACCTGCCACTCAGTGCGTCCAGTGCGCCCATCAGTAGCCGCATCACTTTATTCTCCCGCCCCTCTCTACCCCTCTTCACCGCTGACCATCTTCTCCTCTCCCAGCCAAGCTCGTCCCCCCATCTCCACCCACCCCCTCCCCTCCCCCCTTCACCCAGCCCCCGCGCGGCATAACGAGTCCCGACGCGGCGACGAACCCCGTCTTCCACAACTGGCACCTCGTGCGCCCCGTGTACTGCGACGGCGGGGGCTTCGCGGGGCGCGCGGGGTACAGGGCGGCAGCGAACGGCAGCGCGGGCGCGGGCGTGCACCTGGACGGGTGGCGCGTCATCCACGCCATCCTCGCCGGTCAGCCGCGCCACCTGACTCCGCTCGTTTGGGCGCTCCCCTACCGCCGCTTCACTCGACTTGCTTGCTGCTCACGTTGTTACACCTCCACGCGCTATTCAACCCACCCTTCCTTCCCCCCACCCCTCCTTCCCCCCACCCTTCTTTCCCCCACCCTTCTTTCCCCCCACCCTTCTTTCCCCCCACCCTTCTTTCCCCCCACCCTTCTTTCCCCCCACCCTTCTTTCCCCCACCCTTCTTTCCCCCCACCCTTCTTTCCCCCCATCCTTCTTTCCCCCCACCCCCTTCTTATCCCCCACCCTCTTCGCCCGTGCAGATCTGCGCGCCAACCGCGGCATGACGGCGCCGGCGCGCATCGTGCTGTCGGGCAGCTCGGCCGGCGGGCAGGCGGTGGTGACGCTGTGCGACCTCATGCCGCTGCTCTTCCCGCGCGCGCTCGTCAAGTGCATCATGGACGCGGGGCTCTTCGTCGGTGCGTGCCCACGCCTGGGATGCAAGGGGTGGGGAGTGCAGTGTGTGGCGTGCCGTGTGCTGTTTGCTCCCCAAGTGCATCGTGGACGCGGGGCTCGTGGTGGGTGCGCTGGAGAGCTCATGTCGCGCCCTTCGCTGCACTCCTCGGCGCGCCGTTCCTCCTCGGCGCGCCGTTCCTCCTTTGCCTCTCGCCAGCCCTCCATGCGCATCGTGGCGCCCACAGCGCCAGAGGTAGAGCGCCCCACCACAGCAGTGGCAGCAGGGATGGTGCCCCTCCCGTGCGAGCCCCGCGCCACCACACCCCGACCACCGCACCCAGCACCGGGCACTTGCCGCCACACTGAGGGCAGCGGTGCTCGCACCTCGCCTTATTCTTCTTCACCTCACCTCCTCCAACCCCTCCACACCCCTCTCCCCAACCCCGTTTCACCCTCCACTCCTCACCTCCCAACCTGCGCCCCCTACCCGCCACACCTTTGTGCCCTCCACCAGACGCGGAGGACCGCACGAATCGGCGCGCTTTTGCAGCGATGGTGAGGGCCACGGTGGGGCTGCACCAGATGCGGATCAACTGGCAGTGCAGCCAAGGTGAGTCAAGCGCAGTCAAGGTGAGTCACGTGCAGCCAAGGTGAGTCAACCGCAGTCAAGGTGAGTCACGTGCAGCCAAGGTGAGTCAACCGCAGTCAAGGTGAGTCACGTGCAGCCAAGGTGAGTCAACTGCAGTCAAGGTGAGTCACGTGCAGCCAAGGTGAGTCACGTGCAGCCAAGGTGAGTCACGTGCAGCCAAGGTGAGTCACGTGCAGTCAAGGTGAGTCACGTGCAGCCAAGGTGAGTCACGTGCAGTCAAGGTGAGTCACGTGCAGCCAAGGTGAGTCACGTGCAGCCAAGGTGAGTCACGTGCAGCTAAGGTGAGTCACGTGCAGCCAAGGTGAGTCACGTGCAGCCAAGGTGAGTCACGTGCAGCCAAGGTGAGTCACGTGCAGCCAAGGTGAGTCACGTGCAGTCAAGGCGAGTCACGTGCAGTCAAGGTGAGTCACGTGCAGCCAAGGTGAGTCAAGTGCGGTGCAGGTCAGTCAACCGCAGTGAAGGTGAACCAGAGCTGGTCCCAGGTTGTTGCCAGCAGTCAGTTGGCAGCATGCTGTCCCTCTGCTCAACGATCTTCCCCATTAGTCCACTGGGCGTTTCTCGCTGTAAAGCTGTGTTGGCAATTTTCTGGAGACACGACTCGACTCACCTGGCACTGCAGTCAAGCGTCTGATGATCTGCGTGTGAGTGCACTTTTCTCGCGCTGCCGGAGTCCTCCACTGCTCCTCTGGTGCCCCGCCTCCTCCACTCCCCCCACCACTCACCTCCCACTAATCAACCACATCCGTTTCCCCCCTGAACAAACATAGCCCCCACACAACCGATGGTGCTGCTGCCTCTTCCCCTACCAAGCCCTTCACTTCACCCCCTCACCCCTTACATTCGCCAGCTCACTCTCTCTACTCCCACGTCTCTCGCACCCCCACCCCCACCCCTGTGCAGCCATCCCGCCCCCCAACCAGTGGCGGTGCTTCTTCCCGCACCAGGCGCTGCGCCACGTGGCGTCGCCGGTGCTGGTGGTGAACTCGCTGTTTGACTACCGCGCGCTCATGCTGGGCAACCAGCTGCCCGCCAACCAGGCGCGGGCCACGGCGTGCCTGCAGCAGATCGCGCGCGAGGGCGGCACGGACCTGCTCAAGTCCATCAAGACCCAGCGCTGGCGCCAAGAACCGTCGGCGCTGGCGGAGATTCAGACTGGAGGGGTGCTGACGGGAGGCGGCTATAGGGGGGGAGATTTGGGTAACAGGTTGACGAGCACTGTCGAGGAAGGGGACAGTCCTGGTAGTGGGGCAGGGAGGCGAAAAGAAGCCAAGGGGGCAGCTGGAGGGTCAGGGGAGAAGGGGATGAGGGGAACAGGAGGGGTGGAAGCAGCAGCAGCAAGGTCTGTGTGTGACCCTGCAGAGCACCGGGCGGTGCTGAATGTGGCGTGGCAGATGATTCAATACACCGATGCCGCTCACCTGGAGCTGGGACCCACTGTCAGCACATTCGTCACTCCAGCCATCGCGCACTGCGCACTCACTAGCCCAAAATGGGACTCGCTAACTGATAAAGGCGTCACTCTTAGAGATGCAGTCACTAGATGGTATAGGAGGCCTCTATGATGATTCCGTGTACCTCATGAATGTGCTTTATTGTTGTACCTATCCATCATTGTATTATATTGCGCTCATTACTCCAAGCTAATTTCTATAGCTCATAAGTACGAATGAACAAAGATGAAAGAGTACACTCCAGAGACAAGCGAATCAATGAAACCGAGGAGCCACCCAGAACCGTGGTGGTGGGGCCGACCCCGTGCAATGGAAGCACTCTCGAGTCACGTCATTGGACATCAGCAGAGCCGCCACGCCCGAGAAGGTCAGCAGAGCGAGTGAGAGGCGAGCAATTGAAGCGAGTTGCCTCGATACTGTATCATATCAGAAACCAAACTATGGAAGATTGTTGACCTCCAACATCAGGTCAAGGCAGAGCCAAGTCAAGCGCGGGATGGTGAAATCGCTGCCGCGCCTTCGGTTTCACCCTCCCGCCCTTCTACGGCATTCCAGCTGCGCCCGTCGCACAGCACCTCCAAGGCGATGCTTTCGCTTTCCAGAGGGTGGTGGGGCGGCATGGGTCGAGTACAGGGCTCTCGGTTCAAGGGTAAACATCCGGAATGTCAGGTACATTCCGGGTCTTTCCCGCTGAAATCTTGATTTTGAGGGTTTCGGAATCAAAAACCTCCTGACTGATTCCGGGCGTTTCCCAGGAACTCTCTGAGAAATCCGGACTGCGCGAAAAATTCTCCTGACTACTGGAATGGAAACCTACCCGTGCTGGAATTGTAACCCTACCCTCCCCCCCATTGCAGCCCTGACCAATTTTCCACACAATCTGAAATTGTGACCCGTCGAACTTTCACAACTACAGAAGTGCAGGGCTTTCAGACTATCACAACCCCTTAAAGCGAGGGTCTCAAGAAGCAGAAAACCAAATCCAAAGGTTTTGGTTTTGGGGGGGTCTCGAAAATTGTGAGGTGTGGTGAGGGGTGCTGGTTGGGCTCTGTTACCGCTTCGCTAATATCGTCAACCCAAAACCAAACCTTTTGGATTTGGTTTCGTGCTACTTGAGACCCTCGCTTTAAGGGGTTGTGATAGTCAGGCTTCGCACTGTCCCTCTAAGTTGTACGCATTTCTGTCGCGATTGACAAGGAAAGTGTCGAACTTGGTGTGGTGCTGAGGGACAGCAACAGCAGCAAGTGTGTACTCTGTATTCTTCTCTGTTTCTTCCATGGATGTCCGTCCTGCTTGTACTCGAAGTTCCCGCAGGTTCCGCCTATATGTAGGGAGTTCCAAAAAACACTCTGAAATTCAGATTGAAAGGTCAAAGTAATCCTGAAATAAAGAGAGATTTCTCAAGGAATGCTGATTTTTCAGGGTATTTAGTGACGCGAATCCTGAGACCGCTGGGTCCTGGAAAACGAAAAATTAGCCCTGGTCGAGTAGTAGAGCCAGCGCTTGCAGCAGCGGACTCGCTGCTGGCACGCACTGGCCGCGCACTCTCGTCGCTTCCACTGCCACTGCTTCTTCGCAGTCAGCCTCGCCATCCCCGCTCGTCACGCCGCCCATGGCGTCGCCACTGCGCGTGGCGAATGGCGCGCGTCATCCGCACGCTGAGAGCGGCGGAGCGCCTTCCGCTTCGGCGGGAGGCGAGGATGGTAAGGCGCTGCAGTCGCCGCTGCATTTGCCGCAGTCGTCGCCGTCGCTAGCGGAGTCGCCAGTGCAGTCGCCACTGTCGCCGCAGTCGCCGGCACTGTCGCAGCACTCGCTGCTGGACTGGGTGGCGCTGGTGCTGTGGATGGGGTGGATGCACATCCTGCTCTTCCTCCTCCTCCTCATCGCGCTCACCTTCCCTCACCCCCTCGCCCTCGCACTCCTAACGCTCCTCGCCACGCTCTCGGTCACGCCTGTCGATCCCGACGGCCCCATGGCCAAGGCTTACAGAAGGTTCGCCTCACCTAAAGCCCGTTTCCGTTTAGGTCCGATCCACAAGGCCCGGTGAAGTTTCTGTTTAGTTTGGCGAGAGTCGATTCGGGTTGGGGACATCCCATCCCATGATGCACCCACCGGCTCAGCTGCAGTTCCAAATCCGCGACACCTGCCTCCGCGACACCTGGCTCTGTAACATCTCGTTCCCCTAACCACTGGGCAAAACGAGTGTTGTCTAGAGTCGCAGCGGTTGCGTTTCAACGTCCGTAGACGTTACAGGCTCCGCGAGAGCTGGCTCCGCGAGAGCTGGCTCCGCGAGAGGCAGTTGTGGGTTGATATTCCAAGCTTACCGTGGAGCCTCTCTGCTGCGCGCTTGCAATCCGGACTTCTCCACCATCCCTCCCGCCTCGCTCACATCTACTCCTGCCCATGCTCCACCCTCTTTATCCGCCCATCATTGCCCGTCCCTGTGGCGTTTTGTGTGGTGCATGGTGCATGGTGCACGGTGCATGGTGTGTGGTGCATGGTGCGTGGTGCGTGGTGCATGGTGCATGGTGCGTGGTGCATGGTGCATGGTGCATGGTGCATGGTGCATGGTGCATGGTACATGGTGCATGGTGCATGGTGCATGGTGCGTCGTGCATGGTGCATGGTGCATGGTGCATGGTGCATGGTGCATGGTGCATGGTGCATGGTGCGTCGTGCTGCCTTCAACAGGTGGCTCTACCCGGTGGTGCTGCGCCACTTCCCCATGCGAATCATCTTTGACGACCAGGGCGCCATTACATTCGGCAAGCCCTATGGTGCGACCCGGGGGAAGGATGGTGGGGGGAGCCAGAAGAAAGGAGGGAGGAGAGGGATGGGCGTGTTGGGGGTGGCATGTGGGAGTGAGGTAGGGCGTTGTGCTGGGCAGAGCCCCTCTCTATCAGTTACTTGCGCCATGTCTTACAGCCGGGGCGGGACCTCCCCTCGGGGACCCTCGGGCAGCAGGTTAGGTGTGTTAGCCTGTTGGGTTGGGTTGTTGCCTCGCCAATGCCCTGTATGTTGTGTCGATGATTCACTGCAGAGGACCATTCCACTGGATGCGCATGTTGGCTCCTGCGTGGGCATGAAAGGGGCAGTGGCAGCAAGAATGAAAAACGACAGGCAGAAAACGAAGAAGAGGCGACATTCCTAGGGTTCCTGCCTGTGTGCCCGCCTCTCTCCCCTCACCCCGTTTCTATCCCCTCGCCCCTCCCCCCCCAGTGGTGGCGGTGGAGCCGCACTCCGTGCTGCCGGTGGGGCTGGCGGCCTTCATGCGCCACCCCATGTGCGCGCAGGGCGTGGCGGGCGCCACGAGCGCCATCTTCCGCGTGCCGCTGCTCAGGCAGTTCTGGCAGTGGGCACGCCTCGCTCCTGCCACCCGGGCCGTGCTCTCGCGCGTGCTGCAGAGGGGGCACCCCGTGATCATCGTGCCAGGCGGCGTGCAGGAGTGCCTCTTCATGGCACCCGGCAAGGAGGTCAGCGCCACGCTGTGGGGATGTGGGGGGCGGGGGACGGAGGGGGAGAGGTAGCGTGTGTGTGGGCGGGAGGTTGCGTGTGTGGGGAGAAGAGATGGCATGTAGGGGGGGGAAAATGTGGCATGGTATGTGTGCGGGGTGGAGGGGGGGAGGAGACGGCGTGTAAGGTGCTACTGGCATCCCTTGAGATCACATGGCCCTGTCAATCCCCCTCCCTCCACATCCCACTCCCAGCTCCGCTTCTCTCGCCTGTCGCATTCTACACCTCCTCCCCCTTGCCGTCACATGCCTCCTCTCTCCCTGCACACACTCCACTCCTTCCTCTTCACACTCCCCCTCCCCCCTACTGTCAGGCCCATCTCGCCTTGCCTCCCAGCATTCGCTCCTCGCCCCTCTCGCCCGTGATTTCACGCCCCTTACCCCCATCCCCCAGGTGGCGTTCGTCCGCAGCCGCTTTGGCTTCATCCGCCTGGCGCTGGAGCAGGGGGTGCCCGTGGTGCCCTGCTTTATATTCGGCCAGGTACGTTCACTCTTGGCCTTTGCCTGCCGAAGCAAGCACTCTTCCATGCTCGAGCATCCTGAGCTGAGTCAACTGGTGCTGTCTCGTGCCGCACCCACTCGCTGATTCCCTCTGCCGTGCTTCACCATTCTTTGAACCCCAATTCTCCTTCCCCTCACCCTAGTTCTTCTTCTCTTTCGCCATGTCCTCCCCCGTTGTCTGTTCAGCCCAGCGCATTGCATCGGTGGAGGGCGTTAGGCAATGCTCCCCTCTTTCTTTCAACTCCTCAACCCTTGTCGTTTTCCCGTCTCCCACCCTCTCCCCCGCCTCTCCCCCGCCTCTCCCCCGCCTCTCCCCCGCCTCTCCCCCGCCTCTCCCCCCAGGGCGAGCAAGTACCCCTGGAGGCAGCGCTCTAGATGGCGTGGTACAGGGGACTCCACTCGTCCTCCTCTCTCCCTCTTTCAACCCCCCACACTCTCCTGTCCCTCCTCCCACACCCCCCCCAGACCGCTGCCTACCGGTGGTGGAAGCCGGGGGGGGCATGGTACCGGGCGGTGGCACGGCGCATGGGGTTTGCCCCGATCCTCTTCTGGGGCATGTGGGGATCGCCCATCCCCCTGCGCACGCCCCTCACTGTCGTCGTTGGCAAGCCCATCGGGCAGGGACACCCTGACCCCCACCCGTCCAAAGAAAGGGTGATTTTGACTTGCGTGAATCTCAGGTGGAAACTCCGCAGTGCAGGGGAAAGCACAGCCACTGAAACCCCAACCCTCTGTTGCCCACCACTCCATACCATGCCATGGCATACCACACTATGTGGAGTGCGTGAGTGGTGGATTTCCCTTCGTCTCCACGTACCACTGTGCCATCCCATGCCATCCCATGCCATCCCATGCCATCCCATGCCATCGCATGCCATCCCATGCCATCCCATGCCATCCCACGCCATCTCACGCCATCTCACGCCATACCACGCCATACCACACCATCCCAGGCCATCCCATGCCATCCCATGCCGTCCCATGCCGTCCCATGCCGTCCCATGCCGTCCCATGCCGTCCCATGCCGTCCCACGCCGTCCCACGCCGTCCCATGCCGTCCCACGCCGTACCACGCCGTACCATGCCCTCCCATGCCATCCCATGCCATCCCATGCCATCCCATGCCATCCCATGCCATCCCATGCCATCCCATGCCATACCATGCCATCCCACGCCATACCATGCCATCCCATGCCATCCCACGCCATACCATGCCATACCACGCCATACCATGCCATCCCATGCCATCCCATGCCATCCCATGCCATCCCATGCCATCCCATACCATCCCATGCCATCCCATGCCATCCCATGCCATCCCACGCCATCCCACGCCATCCCACGCCATCTCACGCCAACTCACGCCAACTCACGCCATCCCACGCCATCCCATGATATCCCATGCCATCCCATGCCATCCCCTGCCATCCCCTGCCATCCCATGCCATCTCATGCCATCCCATGCCATCTCATGCCATCCCATGCCATCCCATGCCATCCCATGCCATCCCATGCCATCCCATGCCATCCCATGCCATCCCATGCCATCCCATGCCATCCCATGCCATCCCATGCCATCCCATGCCATCCCACGCCATCCCACGCCATCTCACGCCATCCCACGCCATCCCACGCCATCCCATGATATCCCATGCCATCCCATGCCATCCCATGCCATCCCATGCCATCCCATGCCATCCCATGCCATCCCATGCCATCCCATGCCATCCCATGCCATCCCATGCCATCCCATGCCATCCCATGCCATCCCATGCCATCCCATGCCATCCCATGCCATCCCACGCCATCCCACGCCATCTCACGCCAACTCACGCCAACTCACGCCAACTCACGCCATCCCACGCCATCCCATGATATCCCATGCCATCCCATGCCATCCCGTGCCATCCCCTGCCATCCCATGCCATCCCATGCCATCCCATGCCATCCCATGCCATCCCATGCCATCCCATGCCATCCCATGCCATCCCATGCCATCCCATGCCATCCCATGCCATCCCATGCCATCCCATGCCATCCCATGCCATCCCATGCCATCCCATGCCATCCCATGCCATCCCATGCCATCCCATGCCATCCCATGCCATCCCATGCCATCCCATGCCATCCCACGCCATCCCACGCCATCCCACGCCATCCCACGCCATCCCACGCCATCCCATGACATCCCATGCCATCCCATGCCATCCCATGCCATCCCATGCCATCCCATGCCATCCCATGCCATCCCGTGCCATCCCATGCCATCCCATGCCATCCCAAGCCATCCCACGCCATCCCACGCCATCGCACGCCATCTCACGCCATCTCACGCCATCCCACGCCATCCCACGCCATCCCACCCCATCCCATGCCATCCCACGCCATCCCACGCCATCCCATGCCATCCCATGCCATCCCTTGCTATCCCATGCCATCCCATGCCATCCCATGCCATCCCATGCCGTCCCATGCCGTCCCATGCCGTCCCATGCCGTCCCATGCCGTCCCACGCCGTACCACGCCGTACCACGCCTTTCCACGCCGTACCACGCCGTACCACGCCGTACCACGCCATACCACGCCATCCCACGCCATACCATGCCATCCCATGCCATCCCATGCCGTCCCATGCCGTCCCATGCCGTCCCATGCCGTCCCACGCCATACCACGCCATACCACGCCATACCACGCCATACCAAGCCATCCCAAGCCATCCCATGCCATCCCATGCCATCCCATGCCATCCCATGCCGTCCCATGCCGTCCCATGCCGTACCACGCCATACTATGCCATACCATGCCATCCCATGCCATCCCATGCCATCCCATGCCATCCCATGCCGTCCCATGCCATCCCATGCCATCCCAAGCCATCCCATGCCATCCCATGCCATCCCATGCCATCCCATGCTATCGCATGCCATACCATGCCATCCCACGCCATACCATGCCATAACATGCCATACCGTGCCATCCCATGCCATCCCATGCCGTCCCATGCCATCCCATGCCATCCCATGCCAACCCATGCCATCCCATGCCAACCCATGCCATCTCATGCCATCCCATGCCATCCCATGCCATATCATGCCATCCCATGCCATATCATGCCATCCCATGCCATACCACACCATTCCATGCCATACCATGCCATTCCATGCCATCCCGTGGCATCTCATCCCATCCCATCTCATCCCGTGCACGGGTGTGTGGTGGTGCCAGCAGTGCATGCTGAGTGTGTGAGTGCAGGTATCTTGATGTCTCTTCATCTCATCCCTCTCTTCCCTACCATGCACCTCCATGCCATCCCATGTCATTCCCGCCTCCCCTCCCCCTCCTGCATGTGCCGGCGGTGCACTCTGAGTGTGTTAGTGCGCTTATGTCTGCTTGTCTCTCACGCCTCTCCTCTCGTCCCCTCCCCTCCTTCCCCCCCCCCTGGCAGGTGGCGGCAGTGCATGCGGAGTACGTGAGTGCGTTGGAGCGCCTCTTCCTCGACTACAGGGCCCAGGCGGGCTACCCTCACATGCACCTCGACATCATGTGACGGGCTGGCATCATGTGACGGGCTGGCATCATGTGACGGGATGGCATCATGTGACGGGCTGGCATCATGTGACGGGCTGGCATCATGCGACGGGCTGGCATCATGCGACGGGCTGGCATCATGCGACGGGCTGGCATCATGTGACGGGCTGGCATCATGTGACGGGCTGGCATCATGTGACGGGCTGGCATCATGTGACGGGCTGGCATCATGTGACGGGCTGGCATCATGTGACGGGCTGGCATCATGGGACGGGCTGGCATCATGTGACGGGCTGGCATCATGTGACGGGCTGGCATCATGTGACGGGCTGGCATCATGTGACGGGCTGGCATCATGCGACGGGCTGGCATCATGCGACGGGCTGGCATCATGCGACGGGCTGGCATCATGCGACGGGCTGGCATCATGTGACGGGCTGGCATCATGTGACGGGCTGGCATCATGTGACGGGCTGGCATCATGTGACGGGCTGGCATCATGTGACGGGCTGGCATCATGTGACGGGCTGGCATCATGTGACGGGCTGGCATCATGTGACGGGCTGGCATCATGTGACGGGCTGGCATCATGTGACGGGGATGAATGTAGTGGGGGGGGGAGGTGAACCCTGAGATATGCCAAGGAGTGGCGCTAGGAGGCGACATTGATTGCAATCTCTTAGGGCTGCCACGCATGCAGCTGGACATCATGTGGCGGGGGAGGGGGTCATGTGGCGGGGGAGGGGGTCATGTGGCGGGGGAGGGGGTCATGTGGCGGGGGAGGGGGTCATGTGGCAGGGGAGGGGGTCATGTGGCGGGGGAGGGGGTCATGAGGGGGGGGGGGGGGGGGTTGGGTGGGGATGAAGTGAAGGTGTGTCGCTAGGTGGCACTGTGAAGGGGAGTAGAGGCAGCTGCCAACAGTAGAGAGTTTGATTCGTGGCACTCAAGAGCTGTTGTGGTGCCTCACCACATGCTGCATGTAGTCCTTGCAGGTCAGGATGTCTTTCGTTTTTCCAAAGCTTGTCTTTCTGTACAATTTTCATGGATTCCATGCACTTATGGGGACTTCGACTGTAATGAGGAAAACTGCACTTAGAAGGGCACTCGCAGTGGAAGAGCACCAGCGCTAGATAAACAAATGGGGGAAACGAATGGTTGGTGCATGCACAGGTGGGGGGCCGGGGTGGGGGAATCAGCGTCGTCCCTTGGACCTCTGCTTGTTGGCTCGGTGCTTCTTCTTGGCCTTGCTGCTTGCCTCTCTCGCCGTGGGTGCGCCCTGCTGTGCACCATCCTCGGTGGGAGGGGACAGCAGCGCTCGTGCCTGAGAGTGCGGCGACACCGTACCCACCTCCCACGCCAACCTGCCAATGGGCGGGGGGAACACCAGTCAGCCTCAAAGCACCCTTTTTGTACGTGAGGGGATGGCAGTTGGTAGTTGGTGCCAAGAGAAATGATGGCTGGTTGGAGCAAATAGAAATGGTGGTTCGTGCATGGGGGGATGGCGGTTGGTGCATGGAGGGATGGTGGTTGGTTGCATAGAGGGATGGTGATTGGCCCATAGAGGGATGGTGCTTGGCCCATGGAGGGATGGTGATTGGCCCATGGAGGGATGGTGATTGGCCCATGGAGGGATGGTGATTGGCCCATGGAGGGATGGTGATTGGCCCATGGAGGGATGGTGATTGGCCCATGGAGGGATGGTGATTGGTGCGTGGAGGGATGGTGATTGACGCATGGAGGGATGGTGATAGGTGCATGGAAGGATGGTGGTTGGGGCATGGAGGGATGGTGGTTGGTGCATGGAGGGATGGTGGTTGGTGCGTGGAGGGATGGTGGTTGGTGCGTGGAGGGATGGTGGTTGGAGCATGGGGAGATGGTGGTTGGTTGCATAGAGGGATGGTGATTGGCCCATGGAGGGATGGTGATTGGTGCGTGGAGGGATGGTGGTTGGTGCGTGGAGGGATGGTCGTTGGTGCATGGAGAGATGGTGGTTGGGGCATGGAGGGATGGTGATGGGTGGATGGAGGGATGGTGGTTGGTGCGTGGAGGGATGGTGGTTGGTGCGTGGAGGGATGGTGGTTGGTGCGTGGAGGGATGGTGGTTGGTGCGTGGAGGGATGGTGGTTGGGGCATGGAGGGATGGTGGTTGGTGCGTGGAGGGATGGTGGTTGGGGCACGGAGGGATGGTGATGGGTGCATGAAAAGATGGTCGTTGGTGCGTGGAGGGATGGTGGTTGGGGCATGGAGGGATGGTGATGGGTGGATGGAGGGATGGTGGTTGGTGCGTGGAGGGATGGTGGTTGGTGCGTGGAGGGATGGTGGTTGGTGCGTGGAGGGATGGTGGTTGGTGCGTGGAGGGATGGTGGTTGGGGCATGGAGGGATGGTGGAGGGATGGTGGTTGGGGCATGGAGGGATGGTCGTTGGTGCGTGGAGGGATGGTGGTTGGGGCATGGAGGGATGGTGATGGGTGCATGAAAAGATGGTCGTTGGTGCGTGGAGGGATGGTGGTTGGTGCGTGGAGGGATGGTGGTTGGTGCGTGGAGGGATGGTGGTTGGGGCATGGAGGGATGGTGGAGGGATGGTGGTTGGGGCATGGAGGGATGGTCGTTGGTGCGTGGAGGGATGGTGGTTGGTGCATGGAATGATGGTGATGGGTGCATGGAGGGATGGTCGTTGGTGCGTGGAGGGATGGTGGTTGGTGCGTGGAGGGATGGTGGTTGGTGCGTGGAGGGATGGTGGTTGGGGCATGGAGGGATGGTGGTTGGGGCATGGAGGGATGGTGGTTGGGGCATGGAGGGATGGTGGTTGGGAAACGGAGGGATGGTGATGGGTGCAAGGAGAGATGGTGGTTGGGGCATGGAGGGATGGTGGTTGGTGCATGGAGGGATGGTGGTTGGTGCGTGGAGGGATGGTCGTTGGTGCGTGGAGGGATGGTCGTTGGTGCGTGGAGGGATGGTGGTTGGTGCGTGGAGGGATGGTGGTTGGGGCATGGAGGGATGGTCGTTGGTGCGTGGAGGGATGGTGGTTGGTGCATGGAATGATGGTGATGGGTGCATGGAGGGATGGTCGTTGGTGCGTGGAGGGATGGTGGTTGGTGCGTGGAGGGATGGTGGTTGGTGCGTGGAGGGATGGTGGTTGGGGCATGGAGGGATGGTGGTTGGGGCATGGAGGGATGGTGGTTGGGGCATGGAGGGGTGGTGGTTGGGAAACGGAGGGATGGTGATGGGTGCAAGGAGAGATGGTGGTTGGTGCGTGGAGGGATGGTCGTTGGTGCATGGAGGGATGGTGGTTGGGGCATGGAATGATGGTGATGGGTGCATGGAGGGATGGTCGTTGGTGCGTGGAGGGATGGTGGTTGGTGCGTGGAGGGATGGTGGTTGGTGCGTGGAGGGATGGTGGTTGGGGCATGGAGGGATGGTGGTTGGGGCATGGAGGGATGGTGGTTGGGGCATGGAGGGATGGTGGTTGGGAAACGGAGGGATGGTGATGGGTGCAAGGAGAGATGGTGGTTGGGGCATGGAGGGATGGTGGTTGGTGCATGGAGGGATGGTGGTTGGTGCGTGGAGGGATGGTCGTTGGTGCGTGGAGGGATGGTCGTTGGTGCGTGGAGGGATGGTGGTTGGTGCGTGGAGGGATGGTGGTTGGGGCATGGAGGGATGGAGGTCAGATGGAGGGATGGCAGGCACGAAAGGGAAAGGCAGGGGCAGAGGGCAGATGAACGGAGGGGCAGAGGGACACAGCAGCGCCGCCTCTTCAACGCCGACCCTGGCTCCTGCCAGTCCGTGAAACTGCTCAGCCAGATGCGCCAGCGCTGGTCAGTCACCGTACAGAGGGGGCAGGCCCTGCTGTACCTGGGGTATCGGGACCCCTGCCTGTGCACTCGGATGTGCGTGGTAACTTGGGACCATTGCACGCATGCAATTCGCAACCTGTCAACAATGGCTGAGCACCCACCAGTTGAGTCCCTAACACCCACCAGTTAAGCCCCTAGCACCCACCATTTGAGCCCCTAACACCAACCAGTTGAGCCCCTAACACCCACCAGTTGAGCCCCTAACATCCACCAGTTGAGCCCCGAACACCCACCAGTTGCGCCCCTTACACCCACCAGTTGAGCCTCTAACACCCACCAGTTGAGCCCCTAACACCCACCAGTTGAGCCCCTAACACCCACCAGTTGAGAGCCCCTAACACCCACCAGTTGAGCCCCTAACACCCACCAGTTGAGCCCCTAACACCCACCAGTTGAGCCGACTAACACCCACCAGTTGAGCCCCTAACACCCACCAGTTGAGCCCCTAACACCCACCAGTCGAGCCCCTTTCACCCACCAGTCGAGCCCCTAACACCCACCAGTTGAGCCGCTAACACCCACCAGTCGAGCCCCTAACACCCACCAGTTGAGAGCCCCTAACACCCACCAGTTGAGCCCCTAACACCCACCAGTTGAGCCCCTAACACCCACCAGTTGAGCCCCTAACACCCACCAGTTGAGCCCCTAACACCCACCAGTTGAGCCCCTAACACCCACCAGTTGAGCCCCTAACACCCACCAGTCGAGCCCCTTTCACCCACCAGTCGAGCCCCTAACACCCACCAGTTGAGCCGCTAACACCCACCAGTCGAGCCCCTAACACCCACCAGTTGAGCCCCTAACACCCTCCAGTTGAGCCCCAAACACCCACCAGTTGAGCCCCTAACACCCACCAGTTGAGCCCCTAACACCCATCAGTTGAGCCCCTAACACCCACCAGTTGAGCCCCTAACACCCACCAGTTGAGCCCCTAACACCCACCAGTTGAGCGCTGCAATGAGCAGGAGAGTGAGCGCCAGAAGGAACAGCACATGGTGCAGCATCTCACTGCTGCCCCCGCTGCCGCTTGCTGCGCTGCCCCTGCTGGCAGCGCTGGCAGCAGCGGCACTACTGGACGGGTCCCTGGAGTAGCGCAGGGCGGCGGGCAGCAGAGCGGCAAAGGAGAGGAAGAGACCCGCGAGAACGAGGTTGACGAGCACCAGCGTGGGGCGCTGGAGGGGAGAGGCACGGGGCGGGGGAAGGTCGTTGGCAAGGAAGGCAAGATTGTCGAGAGGCGAGAGAAGGAAGGGAGACAAGGCAAGAGGGAGGGGAGAGCAAGAATAACAGTGGGAGGAATGTTGCTGCTGTGTTTCAAGAACATAAAAGCCAAGGAAACGAAAAAGGAACAAGGTAGGGCAGGGAGGGAGGCAGGAGGAGAAAGGGGGCGTATTTGGCAAAACGAAGCACCAAGCCTTAGAGCACAGTGGAGAAGATGAAAAATGGAGAATTCACAAAAGGCAGGTTTTGAACCTGACGTGAATCGAACACGCAACCTTCTGATCTGGAGTCAGACGCGCTACCATTGCGCCACAGATCCGTGATACTCGTGTATGCTGGTCATTTCAGGTAAAAATTCAAACCAGACGAGCTTGTCGGCAGAAGTAGCATCGTTCGCTTGCCATGCCACGTCAGCACACCCCGAGCTCACATTAAGTCCCGGAGTGATGGCTCCGATCGCCACTGCCGCCATCCACCCCATCCGGCGCTCCTCGCCCCCGTCCGCCCGCTGCCCTCGCTCCTCGCTGCCTCCCATGCTGCCGCCAGGCGCGCCCAGGTGCGAGACTCCAAACGGCCGTCCCAATGAGAAAACCCGCGGGGCCGAGCGACTGGTGGACTGCTGGCAGAAGTGGGACGAGACCCTGCGACGGGGAGTGGTTAGCGCGCGCAGGTGCAGGCGGGAAGGGGGGGGGGGGGGGGGGTGGAGGAGGGAGGAGGAGGGAGGAGGAGGGAGGAGGAGGGAGGAGGAGGGACTCCTTCCTCGGAGGTGGGAGAGCGGCAAGAGAAGGACAAGCGGGTGGGTGAAGGGGAGGGCGGGTTGGGACGCGAGGACGAAGGACGGCTTCAAGGCACCACTGCAGCAGATCACCTGCTGGGCGATGAGACAGCCGCCTGCAACTGAGCTTGGCGGCGAAACTCTGTTGCGATGACAGCAGTGGGGGGGAGCCCTGCGGAAAGCTAGCTCGGAAAGCAAAGCGATCCCAAGAGGGAGCGGGCGAGGTCAGCGGGAGCACGCTAGCGGGGATCGCAGAGATCGCGGGCCTAGACTGACGCGTCGGCGGGGTAACGACATGTTGATTCGTGAAGGCTAGGCAACGAGCATATCAACACTGCTAGTTTCGCGCCTTCACGGCCTTGGGGAGGAGAGGAGAGTTGTGTTGTGGGGGATGGAGGAGATTTGGGTGGGAGGCTGAAAGCGAAGCTCCACTTGAGTGATGTCACGACGACTCACACCATGAGCCGTGTCGCCCCGTTCAGTACAAGAACGCATGATTCTGTATTACCACAATACCATGCTTCGCCACCTAAAAGAAGCGTGACTACTGTTTGACTCATTGGAAACGCCTTTCTACAACAGATAAATAATCTATCATCCACAATAAGCATCTTTGATCACAAATGAATGCCCTCAAGGTGACATCTTGTGTTGTTCACGCTCTGCTGTGCAATGTTGACATCCAAATCGCACATTAGATTGACCTGGATGATGGGAATGGCACCAGAGACACACAGGGAGGCACAACAATAGGCATGAAGCAACAAGATAGGGGCCATCGAAAACGACGGACGTGGCATGGCAAAACACATTATGCATGAAGGCAACACTGTCTGAAAGAAGATAACGTCCATACGCACCGTGATATAAGGAGTTCCAATGTTGTACACGTCCACGTTGGCGCGCACCTCAATGGCCAGCTGCCGCACACAATGGGCGCAAGACAAGGGGTTGGGGGGCGAGCTCTACGCAATGTGGTGGAGACAATGAGAAGGAGCAGCCTTTGCTGTGCTGGCGCTGGCATGCGCTATCGACATGGCAGAGAATAAATACGCGACAACAGGCACGCGAGAGGAGGGGAGGGGAGGAGTGCACCAGAAATTAACGAAACGGGATGATATACGAGAACAGTGAGAGAGCAGCACGCAAGCGGAGGGGAGGATACGTGCAAGAGCAACAGACAGCGGGAGGGAGGGAGGAAACAAAGGAGGGAAGGAGAAGGAAGGGGGGAGGAGGGGGAGAGAAAGGGAGTGTGGGGGGCACACCTGCAGCGGCAGAGTGGAGTAGGCGGAGAGGGCTTGGCGGGAGAGGGGCGAGTTGACGGCGGGCGAGAGGTGCAGAGGCAGGTGCGTGAGCAGCACGCGGGCCTGCACCGTGGTGTTGCTGCGCGGCGGCTGGTGGTACGCAGGGATCTGGTGCCGTGCAGGGCGAGGGAGGGGGGAGAGCAGGTGGGGAGAGAGCAGAAAGGAGGTGGAAGGAGGAAGAGTAATGGGTTTATTGAAAGAACAAGTCCCAAGTTTGTCCAGGTGAGTCGAGCCCCGGCCAGTCAACTGAAGAGTTGAACCCGTTGACTGTGTCAAACCGTCTATTGGAATGTGGGCTTTTAAGAGACGAGGAATCGGATGATGGTTTTCGTTCGGAAGGAAGGAGCAAGGGACTGAGAGGGACAAACTCCCTCCGACTACAACGCTGAGATCCGTTACTGACCCTGTCTTTTAGCCTCGTCCTTGTGCAAACACTGCCATACGCCACTGCAGTTGTAACCTTCATGCCATGCGCCACTGCAGTTGTAACCTTCATGCCATGCGCCACTGCAGTTGTAACCTTCATGCCATGCGCCACTGCAGTTGTAACCTTCATGCCATGCGCCACTGCAGTTGTAACCTTCATGCCATGCGCCACTGCAGTTGTAACCTTCATGCCATGCGCCACTGCAGTTGTAACCTTCATGCCATGCGCCGTTACCAACGCACCGATGCATTGCCGACGTCCTTGTCTTGAAAGCGCGCCAGGATGCTGACGTATTCATACGAGATGCCCACGTGGTTGCGGTTGCCCGCCACCACCGCCACGTCCAGCGCGCCGTCCAGCTCCGCCTCGCGCGCCGCCAGCAGCCCAACCAGCGTTGTGCCTGGGGGCGCGTTGATCGTCAGGTTTGCATTGGCTAGTAGCGGGGATGTCAGTAAAGGGGATGAGGCGAGAGGGGAGATGAGTCTAGAGGCGGCAGCGGCGGCAGCAGTGGCAGCAGGGGAGGGCGGAGAGGTGGAGTTGGCGGGGAGAGTGGCGGCAGCAGCAGTGGCGTTGACGGCAGCAGCGAGCTGGGCGGTGGTGAGGGTGAAGTTGGACGGCAGCGGGGCGGTCAAGGAGGGCAGGGACAGGTTGCCGGGCAGCGATGTGTTGCCGGGGAGGGGGACATTAGGAGGGGGCAAGGAGGCGGGGGCGGTGGCTGGCAGCAGCGGCAATGATGAGGGCGGTGTGGGCGGCAGCAGCGGGGTGAGCGCCATGTGCGCGATGGTGATGCGCGTCACCGTGAACTCGGGCGCCTGGGGGGTGGGCGGGAGGGGCGCACGGGCGAGTGGTGCGAGCAGCAAGAGCAGAGGCAGGGATGAGGTGCGCATGGTGAAGAGCGTGTTGGGGCAGCAAGACGAGGGAGAGGCCACGTGGCGAGCATGCAAGGGAAGCAGGCCTCACGGGGCACATGCAGCGCCTAGGTGCTCTGGGAGCCCATGCTGCAGTGTGCTGGGTGCCCGTGGGACAGCGGCAAGGAGTAGTAGGAGGAGAAGCGGAGGACACGACAAGAAACATTAAGTTGATCATGCACACGCATTGGAGCATCATTATCGCCACATCACCATGCACACCATGGTACCGCCCACCATGGGGTGGTACAGCACCCACCATGGGGTGGTACAGCACCCACCATGGGGTGGTACAGCACCCACCATGGGGTGGTACAGCACCCACCATGGGCTGGTACAGCACGAAGATGGAGACGGCCACGGCCACAGCGACGGCGAGCAGCAGCAGCAGCGCGCACAGCGAGCAGCACACCACGCGCCCCCACGTCACCCGCCCCCCGCGCTTTTGCTGCTCCGCGTCCGATGGCAGCTGCGCCTGGCGGGTGCACGAAAGGGGGGCAGGGGGGGGGAGAGGGGGTAGGTTTGGGGGAGATGAGCGGGGAGCGGCGGGCAGCCATCGGCGGCAGTAGCACAGCACGGCTTGCGCTGCCAGCAAGAAATGGGTGCTTCAAGTGGCGGCGGAAGGGAAGGGAGGAGCGGGGAAGTGAAGGGTGAAGGGAAGAAAGAGCAGCCAAGGGACCCCGGTGGGCAGATCAGGCATGTGGGGCAGGCGACGAGGCGTGTGTGGCATGCAGTGGGCAGTGGGCAGTGGGCAGTGGGCAGTGGGCAGTGGGCAGTGGGCAGTGGGGAAGGGAAGGGTATGTGACGGCGAGCGAGGGGCGGCGGGCGAACCTGTTCCGGGGCACGCGGAACGCAAGACGGGGCGACGGGCGAACGAACGGTGAGGCTGAGGAGAGAAAGTCGCCCCGTGCGACGGCTGCTGTGACATCTCCGGTACTTGTCCTGTCAACCCGCGCCCAGCCCCCAGAGCCCAAATTTCACCATCTCCACCCATCTCAACCCATCGCAGCTGCTGCGGTCCACTCAAGGCGGACGCATGGCCGTTTCTCTTCGTCATGTGCCCGCCCCCGCCCCTCCAACACTGCCGCCAGCCCAGCGGCTGCTCCGCCATCCGCGCGTACCTCGCTCGCGCCATCCGCGCGTACCTCGCTCGCGCCATCCGCGCGTACCTTGCTCGCGCCATCCGCGCGTACCTTGCTCGCGCCATCCGTGCCGGCCGTTGCCTCGGGGATGTCGAGTCGCGACGAAGCGCCCATCGCTACTGTCGCACTCGCGCCTCGCCACTCTCTCGATGCCCAGGCGACGAGCGACAGTCGCCCGATGACACCAACGCAGGCACCTACAGGGGTTCACTGCGCTTGTACTAGCGGATCGCGTATGCGACTATATCGATGGGGACGCCGCAGCGTTGAAGGCTATCAAATGGCGGCGGCTCTCCACCGTGCCACACCGCTGGCCAGGCGGTGATCGTCTTCTCTGACGTGGCGAATCGCTGACAATTCCAAGGAAGAACCGCGCCGTTCGTACGCGCAACGGGAAGGAAGTCCGAGAATGCCGTGGAAATAATGATCGCCGTGGTGCTCAGAAAGGGCACGGGACTTGCATAAGCACCTCTGCTGAAACCTCCCTTGGACCGAATCATTTGGCGAGCTGAATGATCAACAGCTCTCAACGGCGGAAGGGTCGACGAGACAGGTACTGAGCAAGGCGATGGCAGTGATCCATTCCGCATGCAGGCTGCTGCCCCCTCTTGCACCACCCACCCGCCCCGTGCCCATTCCCCCTCTCGTAGGCTGCCAGCGATCCCAAGCGGGCCGGGAGCGGGTGGGATGGAATTGCGGAGCAAGCTGGGGGGCCTGCGCAACTCTGGAGTGCGACTGTGCGACAAGCCTCGCAGAAACAGCGGCGTTCGTTTTCTGAGTGGGTGTCGTGGAAAACGAAGAATGGCGAAACCAAGGGGCAGGTATGGCCGACAGGTTCTGCCTGCTGTGTCGGGAGAACACATCTGCGGCTCGGCTCACCCACTACGCGAACTTGTCGGCGGGGATGGCGATGGCACCTGCGGGCCCTCCCTCACAGAACAGCACAGATACAGCTCAGTTATAGTAGAACATAACGATTCAGTTACCGAAATCACCCGGATATAGGCGCATATGAGCTTATAGGGATTAGGTTCAAAACGCAGCATGCTCTTGTAACCGGATAAAAAATCTATGCCCATGCGCTAATACGAAAGACTATATGGAAAAAATAATTTGAACACACCAAAATGTAGCTGGGATGATTTGGGTTCCAATACAACTGTCTTCAAAAGGGGACGTGCAGAAATATCGCGCGGAATATCTGGCGAAAGTTTCGGCGAAAGTTTCGCCAGCACAACTATGCTGGGAAGGTAGGATATGGACCAATCATAGGCATGATAGTGATCGGAAACACAGGAATCTGGCTGGCGAGGTATTTGGGAGGGGTGCGAGAGTGCTGCGGGAAGTATGGCACAAAGTTTCGATATGGAAGTTTCACCATTCACCCGTTTTTTAATAGTAATTCAATGCGCCTATAGGGAATAAAATTTCCCATTTTTTTATTTTCCGTTTTTAATGTTCTTTTAAAAAGGTGTGCTTATAATAAAATAATGGATATTAGCATGTTTGCACTCAAATAAGCCCGTTATGCTTGATAAATGGTCGCGCCTATATCCAGGTGATTACATTATATACTTGTTGCCCTGGTTTAGACGAGTTAGGTCCCACACTTCAAATAAACAAAACCACAAAAGATGCCAACTTCGCAGCCACATCAACAAAGTCTGGAGCACCAAGAGCATAAGGAAGTCTAAGTCATCAGAAACATACCCACATTATTCCTACTGAGACCAAAGCTAAAAAGCACAAGCAAGAGAAGCACCTAACTATTAATGTTCATTCATATATATATATTTCGGTATATATAAACTATAGCCTTGCTAGGGTTCAAATTATATGGAGTATAATCTCATAATAAAGCATTAGTTAAAATGGAGTGTATAGGATGACTTTGTGCTAGTGAGTTGTACTCTATAAGAGCATGCACCTACTGTATCTAACAAATAATAACATATGCATATATGTTTGACACATCCCCTAGGCTAGACAAGGGGCAGTGCCTGGCAAGAGACACGCAACTTAGGGTGGCACTACTAGTCCAGCATCTGAGGCAAGGGTCGGAAGAACAGTCAGAAGAGTACAAACTATACAAGAGCAAACCGTGGCGGCACTATTAGTCCGGCCACTAGAACAGAAGCCACAAGGCCAGTTAGGAGAATATATAAAAGAGTAGTACACAATCAAAATCCTAGCAAGTGAGGAGCTACTAGAACAAGATCAAGCTGTACACAGTGTCGCTCATGATCTTTAGGCGCAAACGCCTTAGTAAAGATATTACATGTATTGGCACCAGAGGCCAAGTGTACTACGCGGGCCTGGTGGCGTTGCTGTAGCTCGCGCAGGAGGAATTACCGCAGCTGGTTGTGCTTCGCTCTGCCCTCAAATCGAGGCTCCTGATACAGGATGATCATGGCCCTATTGTCAGCATACATGACCTGGGCAGAGCTAGGCCGCTCACCTAATTCTGTAAGCAAGGAAGTCAGCCAGCGGAGCTCCTGTGCCGCCATGGAACCAGCGTAGATCTCAGCATCACAGCTAGACTGTGAAACAGATGACGAGCGGGTGGACCACCACGAGATGGCGCATGCACCAAGGCTAAAGCAGTAGCCCTTGGAGGACTTGAGCATCTCAGCGTCGTCCGCCCACGAAGCATCTGTCTGCCTTGTAAGGACAACTGGCTTGCGTCCTCTCAGCACTAGCCCAATGTCCGATGTACTTGCTAGATAATGCAAAACCCTCTTAGCGGCCGACCAGTGCTGTGGTCAATGTTTGCCTGTCGCCACAAAGCGAGCCATGATGCTAAGAGGGTATGCGAGATCTAGACGAGTGCAAGTCATCAAGTACATGAGGCAACCCACTAGCTCTGTGTACGGACCACTAGGCTCGACCGACTCCTCAGGGACTGGAGCTGAGAGCCTGTGATCTATTGGCCGAGATGTGTGCTGTGCGGAGGAGAACTGAAGAACGAACCTCTGAAGGACCTGACGCACCAAGTGTGACTGTGTGAGAGTGATGGTACGCGCTGCTCTCTCTAGCTCGTACTGCCTGTCCTCTAGGACGTCACTACCAAGGGTAGGTGCACCCCCGACGGACGAAAGACGGGCAGGGTGAGTGACCCGAGCTATGGCGCAGTCAAGGTGGCGGGTAGAGGCAAAGTCAACGACAGCAGCGACAAGAGCGTCAAGACTGGAGACAAGAACAGACGGGTCAGTAACGAGAGAGGCGAGAACGTGAGGAACAAGCGGACTAGCGGCACGGAGGAAGTCAGAGAGAGGAGGGGGAGAGACAACAAGGAGGCGATGGTAGAAGAGGAGCACAAGATGCATGAGAGCGGAGCAACATAGGGTGACATCGCTGGACAGGAGATACAGGAGGAGCACGAGAGGCACGATGAGACCACACCGAGAGGGGGGTGGTCGGGTCAGGAGAGAAGGGAGGAAACAAAAGAGGAGAACGAGGGGGGAAACGAGCCGGGGACAAGTCCGGCAGAGGAAACACAGTTCGTAGACAGGCGGAGGAGGCGGTGGTAGGGGAGGCACAGGCTGGCGGTCGGGGGAGGGAAGGCCCAGGAGGCGAAGGGTGAACACCAGCGGCGACTGCTGCTGCTGCTCCACGCCAATGCCAGAACCTCAGGCCTCTCCACGGCTACCTCTGGGAGCTCCACGACAGCACCCCCAGAATGAGAACCCTCTCCAGCACTTGTGCCACCCCCGGGACCGTCGGGACAAGCTACGATACTACCCCCAGGACTAGCATCCTCCTCAACTCCCACACCCCCAGAGCTCGCGGACCCCTACTGCGGCTGTGGCTGTGGCGGCGGCGACTACGGGTGCTGCTGCGGCTGCATCGGCGGCGACGGCGGCTGCTGCAGCGGCAACGACGGCGGCGGCGGCTGCTGTGGTGGCTGAGGAGGAGACACCCGGGTGGAGATAGGCGGTGCAACCAGAGCCGCAGGACCCCCAGAGTCAGCTGACTCCTCTATCGGGACAATCGACGGGAGGGAAGGATGTGAGACACACCAGACGTGGCATGATAGGGAGGGAGAGGAGCAGAGGCTACCGGGGGAGTGGGAACCCAAAACAGGGGCGGGATAACCAGGAGACCTTGGTGGGAAAAGCGAGTGTAGAAGGAGATAGACTCGTCAAAAGTGACGTCACGAGAGTAAAAGAAACTGTGAGACGGCGGGTGGTAAAAGTGTCAGTTAGACGCATTTAGGGGGAAGCCAAGGAAGACACAAGGGACAGTGCGGGCAGTAAGCTTGTTCGTGCCAGAGGCACGAACGTGAGCGAGGCAGCCCGAGACGTAGAACGCAGACGCGTCACCAAGGGAACCGGTCCAGAGGAGGGTCGGCGAAACCTGTGGCCGCTGGGAGTGTGGCCGCAGGTTAAGTGAACAGCGAATGGCCACAGAAAATGGGGTGCACCAGCATGGATCATGGAGGTACGAGCCACCTCTGTGACCAAGCCGATGTGTCGCTCAGCGATCCCATTCTGCTGCAGGGAGTCCCGCAGGGTGTACGACAGGGTGATGCCCTCCGCACGACAAAACTGGCCAAGCCGACCAGAGGCGAACTCGCCGCCACGGTCGGAGTGAATACGCAATATAAGGAGGCCGCGGTGGACTTGCGCAGCTACGACCCACGAGATAAGAACGTCATGCACGTCGGCCTTCCGCTCCAGGGGAAACACCGTGGTGAAGTGCGTGTAGTCGTCGACAAGCACTAGAAAGTAGCACTCTTGACGTGGCCCAGGGACACGGGCTAGGCCCCTGATGACCAGGTGCACGGTCTGTAGTGGCGAACTGGTAGGGGGAAGCGAGGAGGAGTGATGAGCACGGCGCAGCCGGCCCTCGACACAGGGCGTGCACGGCGGCGCGAGCGAGGGAGGGGGAGCAGGGAGTGACGAAGGGAGACCTACAAGACCATGCTAGGACATGTGACACAGGCGCGGGAGTGAGGGGTGACCTAGGCGGTGGTCCCACAACAGCAACGGGTGGGTGAGCGACCGACACAAGCAAGCCGCAGCGACGTGGGTAGACGCATGCACCTCGGGGGACGCCCTCATCGGGGGGGACGCAGTGTCCAGCGTGATCAGGCCAAGCACCGGGTCCCGAGGGAACATGGTGATGGGGGAACCTATGGTGGCCTCGGTACAGACCGTGTACTGCTCGTAACCAGGAATCGTAGTGGTGATGCCGAGGTCTTGAATATAGCTGACACCAACTAGGTTCTTGGAGAACGAGGAGATGTGCAAGCCTGTAAGAGAGCCTGAGGGAACCGCCGGACAGGGAAGTATAGTGGAGTCACGTGCAACTACCGGACCTGATGAGGGGTCAGCAAGCGGTGTAAGTGCAGTGTGGTCGAGGAAGAAGCAGGCAGACGCACTAGAGTCTAGCGTGAAGGAGGGAGGAGTGATAGTGTCATCCGGTGGAGGAGCTAGCGTAGAGCCAGGGCTAAACAAGGTAGGAGGTCCTAACCCTGATACAGTAGGGGATCCTAGACTACACACAGTGGACACACACCTATACTAGGCACGACAAGGTAATAAGGTCCGGTCACACTAGAGTTATCAGCATACATGGCATGCAACGAAAAGTAAATCTGATCCATATCCATCTCAAACACCAGCACACGATGATGCACGAGAATGGATTAGTCGGGGAGGTCTGGCGCAGGGCCGAAGCGGAGACGGAAGAGGTCGTCAAGGTGGCAGTAGCAGTGGGCGGCAGTGTGACCGGTACGGCCACACACTGTGCTACGAAGGGGGCTAGAATGGAGCTGGTACTGGCAACTCCCAGAGCCGAAGCTGCCACCTGACGCCGAGCTACGAGGGCCACCACTGGGGCCACCACCACAAGAGCCGCCTGGCCACCCCAGTGGGAGGCGACCCCATTGCTGCTGCTGCTGCTCCGGAAGATCAGCCCCGGTCCCCTCGTTGGTACCGCCAGCGCTCGCACCACCTCCACCACCATCGCCACCCCCACCACCCGTCCCTCCGCCACGCCGACGACCTGCCCGCTAGACTTCCGCCAAGCCGACCAGAAGACCATCACATCGAGCTGGAACCAGGCGCCCAACCGATGGTACAGCGACAATTCCAGCTCAGCCAACCAGAACTGGAAGAAGTACAGCAGCAGCTGGATTACCTTCTGACAAAGGGATTTATCCGGCCCAGCACGTCCCCATACGCCGCCCCGATACTGTTCACACCAAAAAGGGATGGAGGATTCCGCAGGTGCAGAGAGTACCGCGCGCTCAACAGGATTACAATCAAGTCGCGTTACCCGATCCCGCGAGTCGACGAACTACTCGACCAACTTTGTGGAGCCAAGTTCTTCTCGAAAAACGACTTGCGAGGGGGTTACCATGAAATTCGCGTCGCCGCCGAAGACTGTCACAAAACCGCCTTTCGCACCCGCTACGATAGCTACAAATACTTGGTGATGCCTTTTGGCCTCCCGAACGTGCCCTCGACCTTCCAAAAGACCATGAACGGCATTTTCAGGGAACTCTTTGATAAATGCGTTATCATCTACCTCGACGATATACTAATCTACAACCGCAGCAGGGGGCAGCACTTACAGGATCTTGATGCATGTTGTGTGATGTCATCATATGCTATCACATTCTGTCTGCCTCCCATCCCATGTTTTTTCAACTTGCATGTGTGGTTTGAATGTGCAAGCATTTGTGTGTGGTGTGTTCTGGAGTTTGGGAATGTGTTTTGTGTTATTCTGTCTGAGCAGGTATTTGTGATAATAGATCTTGAGAAGATCTTTCCGACGCAACAAGAATCGCTTCAATCGGAGCAAGAACGCGAAAGCTATGAAGATTCAAAGTTCATGAGCTTGCGTTACAATTGCGGCGGTTACAAAGTGAAGTTGTGGGGTGACTCTATATGGAGTTGGGACCTTTGGGGTTGGGGAAATTTGTCACTCTACTGTAACAGCTGCAAATTGGTTGGGAACAACCAAGCTAGGTTGGCAAGGGTGGCCAACTTGGATGGATTGGTTGGGAAGGGACAAAGGTCAAAGTTGAGGTTCCTATAGGGAGGGAATCTTTGTGCTTATGGGGTTTCCTTGGTTGGGGACTCTCTTGGGACCTTCCCTCTCGTCCCTCTCTTTCTATCCCAACCTTTCTCTTGCTCCTTCTAATTCCTTGTGAGATTCTTGAACTTTGATTGAACTCTTGAGATTGAGTTAAGTTCTCCTCCTACAGCTTACCCCCTAGTGCGTCGAAAGCCATAGCGTCGCGAATACTTCATCAATCAACGTGATTCAAATTGGGAACGGTAGCTGAGATCAAGAGCTACAACATATCCAAGTTTCGCGACATTCCAACGGCTAGTGTTTTGTCGACGTCGTTTCTTGTGAAGACGACTTTTCTGTCCAGAATTTCGGATTTATATTTTGAGTAATTCTAGCTCCTAAGTTCACCTAGACTCTGTCCTTAATCCTAACAAGTGGCATCAGAGCGATATTAAGGACATTGAGAGGAGTCTACAGAAGTGTGAAGACCCTTCTAGACCCACCATGGCCTGTGGGTGTGCCTAAGTGGTGTTCTAAAGGTTGGATGTGTCTTCCGCTAAGGGGAAACTCTGCCGAAATTTCGTGGACGCCGACACTTGTGAAAATATCGAGGGAGCTGAGTGTGGACAGCAAAGGGGAGCTGAAATTCGTCATTTCTCAAGGAGAAGATGAATGAGAGAGGAGGAGATGCTAATGGAAGAGGAGCTGTAGCTGAGAAGACAAGTGAGCCGCCGCCATCAAAAGTTGAAGCTTTGGATGGCTCCAACTATGAGGAATGGAGCGGACGGATGAGGAGTGCCTTCAAACGCTACAAGCTCCTGAAGATTGCTGTTGGGGAAGAGAAGATGCCGGAAGAAGGCGAAGCACGTGAACGGTGGATTGAGAAAAGCGCGGTGCTTTTCGACCTCATTCTTCAATCGGTCAACAAGGAGATGTTCGAGCACATCAAGGATCTTGTGGAAGCGGATGATTCGGGTCCAAGGGCGTGGAAACTACTACGTGATGTGGTTCAGCCCAACACTCTCCCGATGGTGATCGTGCTCGAGAAGGAACTTGCTGCCATCTCCATGCGACCAGGGGACGATGTGAAGCCGGTCCTTGACAAGATCAAGGACACCTATGCAAGGATGGCAGCAGCGGGCAGCAGTGTATCTCAGCTGCAGCAGTGCACCAAGATCATCTCGGTGTTGGACAACTCTTGGGACAACCTCATCCCCACCCTCAACTCTCAACAAGATCAATGGACACCTGAGTGGCTAAGGCAGCAGATTCTGCAGGAGGACTTCCGCAGACGCCATGTGGGAGGCGGTGCTGCCACTAAGACTGCTGAGGGGTATGGAGCTGCAGGGCGCGGCAGAGGAAGAGGGGGTTGGAGAGGCCGAGGCCGTGGGAGAAGCTTTGGCAGAGGTAGAGGCCGAGGTGACTATAATGAGGGGCATGGGAGCTCCAGTGGCAGGGGGAGTACCAGAATGGAGGGCACCTGCTGGTACTGCAAGAAGATAGGGCATCCTTGGTTCAAGTGCTTCAGCAGGCCGGAGGGATGGGCACCTCCAGGCATGAAGCCACCCAGTGGTGAACGCGCACAAGGTGGCGCTGTGCAAGGCTCAGGTGCACAAGGTGAAGGTGCACAAGGTAATGCCTATCCTGGTTTGTTTCTTATGGTTGAGGATGTGCATGGGCATGAGGGTGATGTGGGATTTGTGGGAAAGGTTGTGATGCACCCTCTCACGCACTGGGTGATTGATTCGGGTTGCACCAGTCACATGACCCCACGGGCAGATGTGCTGGATGAGGTAAAACCCCCTGGGAAGATTAAGTATGTGGCAGCAGCGTCAGGTGCTTTGCTCCCCGTGATTGGTGTTGGGAATGCCAAGGTTAAGGGAGCTAATGGGGAGCTTGTGGGGCTTGGGAATGTTCTGCTGGTTAAAGGCTTGTCTGCTAACCTTCTCTCTGTGCGGCGGCTGCAGAAGAGTAAGGCCGAAGTGACCTTTGGACCAACCAGCTGCCGTGCTAAGCTTGGGAAGAAGGTGCTGTGGAGTCTGGAAGAGGAGACCAGCTGCATCAAGGACCTGTGGCAGCTGCCCATCATCCCTTGGAATGGGAAGACTCCAACAGCAGCAACGGCAGCAGTGGCAAAGGCAACAGCAGGAGGAGATGCAACTGCACCAACTGATGGGGTGCTGGAAGCAGTCAAGAAAGTGCAGAAGCAGCAGACACATGGTGAGGTGCTTGCTGGTGTGGATGCGAGTGCGGCATGGGCTAAGGCTTCACCAAGGAGTGGAGAGGCCGATTGGGAGACATGGCATGAGAGGCTGTGTCATGTGAACTTCCCTATGCTGCAGAAGTTGGTGAAGGATGGGAGCCTGAAGGGCTTGGAGGTGAAAGGGGGAGTGAAGGAGATTGGGAGCTGCCCTACATGCTTGGAGACCAAGTTCTCCAAGTTCCCCTTCAACAGCACTACAGGACCAGCCAAGACCCCACTTGCACTTGTGCATATGGATGTGGTGGGGCCCACAAGAGCCCCTTCCCTCTCAGGCAGCCGCTATTTCTTGACAATTGTGGATGACCACACTCGGGCAGTGTGGGTTTACCCTTTGAAGAGCAAGGGGGAGGTGGCAGCGGCTGTCCTTAAGGAGTGGATGCCTAGAGCTCAGAGGGAATGCGGACACAAGGTGAAGGTGATCCGCAGTGACAATGGTGGGGAGTTCATTGGAGCTGATTTTGAGGGGGAGTTGAAGAGGAAGGGGATCCAGCATCAACTGACAGTGCCCTACAACCCGCAGCAGAATGGCGTGGCTGAGAGGTTCAACAGGACCCTGCAGGAGGGGGCACGCACTCTCCTTGGGCGTGCAGGGCTGCCTGATCCGTTTTGGGTGTCTGCACTGAGGCAGGTCGCCCTTGTGAAGAATAGGGTGCTGGCTACAGTTGGAGATAAGGAGTGGATCCCATATGCCAAGTGGTATGGGAGTGCTCCAGCGGTGAACATGCTGAGGGCATTTGGGTGCATGGTGGTGTTTCATGTGCCCAAGGAGAAAAGGGGGAAGTTGGAGGCTTCTGGAAGATGGGGTGTGCACTTGGGGATTGCAAAGGATCACAAGGGGTGGCTGCTATGGGACCTGACCACCCAGAAGCTGACAGTGTCAAGGGATGTGAAGTTTCTTGAGTCCCTGTACTATAAGGAATGGAAGCAGCAGCAACAGAAGCTTCCATCTACACCGCTCATTGTGGAGGCAGATGAGGTGCAGCAGCCTTCAAGACAGGTGGAGGTTGCAGTGTCAGAGGAGGAGATGTCTGGGGTGACTGAGGAAGGGGGAGCAGCTGAAGTAGAGCAGCAGCAGCAGCAGCATGAGTCTCCACCTCGAGTTCCACACCCGCCTGAGCGTCCTAGGAGGGATGTGCGCCCTCCAGTGAGGCTGACCTATGGGGGAAGAGGCAAGCCAAATGTGGTGCAGGCTGGGAGTGTGGTTGAGCAGATTGAGGAAGATGAGATCGCTCACTGCTACTGGGCACCAATCCCTGAGCCCAAGACTCGAGAGGAGGCCTTGAATGGACCAAATGGGGAGAAGTGGAAGGCGAGTGAGGATGAGGAGTTCGGGTCCCTAATTAAGAACGAGACATGGGACCTGTGTGACTTGCCTCCTGGAAAGAAGGCAATCACTTCCAAGATGATCTACAGGCACAAGTATGGACCTGAAGGGGAGCTGACCCGCTACAAGTCCAGGCTTGTGGCAAGGGGGTTTCAGCAGACAAAAGGGAAGGACTATGATGAGGTGTTTGCTCCTGTGGGGAAAGGAACAACACTGAGGGTGCTGTTGGCGATAGCTGCACTCCTGGGATGGAAGATACGGCAGATGGACATTGTGACTGCCTTTCTGAATGGGATCATTCTGGAGGAGGTGTACATGAAACAGCCAGAGGGGCTGGATGACGGGAGCGGCAGGGTCTGCAGGCTGAAGAAGGCCATCTATGGCCTTAAGCAGGCGCCTCGTGCATGGTATCACAAGTTGGAGGAGGCGCTGTTGGCTGGGGGTTTCAAGAAGAGTGAGTGTGACCCCAGCCTGTTCCTGCTGCAGGAGAAGGATGAAATCCTCATGCTCTTGGTGTATGTGGATGATATCCTTCTCTTTTCTGCATCAACTGCTTTGCTGGACAGCGCAGAGCAGATGCTGGAGATGCAGTTCAAGTGCTCCAAGATGGGTGAGGTGAAGTACTACTTGGGGATGCACGTGGAGAGAGATGTGGAAAAGGGTGTGCTGAGGTTGCACCAGAGGAAGTACTGTGAGGGGCTGGCTGAGAAGTATGGGCTGCAAGATGGGGGAAAGCCAGCAACACCACTACCTTCAGGGTTTACTGTGGAGCCATGTGCTGATGAGGAGGTAGTGGGTGAGAGTGACAGGAAGCTGTTTCATTCGATGGTTGGGTCGCTGAATTATGCTGCAAATCATACACGGCCTGACATTGCATTTTCTACATCACGGTTGGCTAGTGTGGTCTCACGCCCTAGTCATGAGCAGCTGGAAGCGGCCAAGAGGTTGGTCCGCTATGTGAGTGCTACGGCATCAGTGGGATTGGAGTACAGTGGAGTGAGGCAGCGGTTGCAGAGAGGTGCTGCAGATGTGAAGAGTGGAAAGATGCTCTTGAGTTGCTATACTGACGCTAGCTTCAACTCAGTGAAAGCGGATGGCACCAGCATTGGGGGTTATGTGTGCTTGCTAGGAGGTGGTGCTGTGAGCTGGCGCAGCAAGAAGCAGAATGAGGTGGGATTGTCTTCATGTGAGACTGAGTACATGGCCTTACACCATGGGGCCAAGGAAGTGGTATGGCTGAGGCGTTTGTTGGAGGAGTTGGGAGTTGGTCAGGAGGAGCCGACAGTTGTGTTCTGTGACAATGAGTCTGCAGTGAAGCTGGCCAAGAATGCTTGTCTGCATGGGCTGACAAAACACATAAGGCCTAAGTGGCATTGGGTGAGGAGAATCCTTGATAAGGAGGTGCGGCTGGAGATAGTGAAGACCCATCAGCAGGCAGCAGATATTTTCACTAAGCGTCTTGCGGAGGCGGATCATTGGAAGGGCATGAAGCTTGCTGGGATGAGTGTGCGGCGGTTACAAAGTGAAGTTGTGGGGTGACTCTATATGGAGTTGGGACCTTTGGGGTTGGGGAAATTTGTCACTCTACTGTAACAGCTGCAAATTGGTTGGGAACAACCAAGCTAGGTTGGCAAGGGTGGCCAACTTGGATGGATTGGTTGGGAAGGGACAAAGGTCAAAGTTGAGGTTCCTATAGGGAGGGAATCTTTGTGCTTATGGGGTTTCCTTGGTTGGGGACTCTCTTGGGACCTTCCCTCTCGTCCCTCTCTTTCTATCCCAACCTTTCTCTTGCTCCTTCTAATTCCTTGTGAGATTCTTGAACTTTGATTGAACTCTTGAGATTGAGTTAAGTTCTCCTCCTACAGCTTACCCCCTAGTGCGTCGAAAGCCATAGCGTCGCGAATACTTCATCAATCAACGTGATTCAAATTGGGAACGGTAGCTGAGATCAAGAGCTACAACATATCCAAGTTTCGCGACATTCCAACGGCTAGTGTTTTGTCGACGTCGTTTCTTGTGAAGACGACTTTTCTGTCCAGAATTTCGGATTTATATTTTGAGTAATTCTAGCTCCTAAGTTCACCTAGACTCTGTCCTTAATCCTAACAATGCATTCTTCACACTGCTGCACAAGAATCACCTCATCACGAAAGGGTCTAAGTGCGAATTTCTTAAGCAGGAGTTGGAGTTTTTGGGCCACGTCGTTTCTACCGAAGGAGTGAAAATCGACCCCAAGAAAATCAAGACCATACAGGAGTGGAAGCCGCCAACCAACATAAAGGAGCGGCAGAGGTTTTTGGGTTTTGTCAACTACGTCCGCCGATTTATACATAATATGGTTGGGTTATCTGCCCCGCTAACTGACCGACTCAAGGATCACAACTGTTTTTGGTGGGGAGAGAAGTAGCAAGCTGCATTCGACCAACTGAAGATCGCCCTCACGTCGCCGCCTGTTCTTACGAAGTCATCACCGACGCCAGCGACATCGCCATCGGTGCAGTTCTCCTACAAGATTTCGGCGACGGATTACAGCCGGTCGCCTACGAATCACGGAAGCTGCAGGGCGCGGAGAAAAACTATACGGTACATGACGAGGAAATGCTGGCGATCGTCCACGCGTTCAAGACCTGGCGGTGCTACCTGACAGGCGCTGACGTCACGGTGCGGACTGGCCACAAATCCTTACAGTACCTATGAGCCCAACCGAATCTCAACCTGCGACAGATCCGATGGCTCGATTTCCTTGATTCGAACTTCCACTATACCATCACCTACAAACGGGGCGCCAACAATATTGCCGATGCCCTGACTCGACCTACTGCCCATACAGCCGCCATACTAGTGGCCAAGACCAGCCCACTACTTACCGGACTATTTATCCACGGCTACAAGATCGACCCTTTCTTCTGCTCTGCTATTCATCAACAGCATACCACCACCACCGGACACTATTTAATAAGCGCGATACTTCCCGCATCTGGGTACCCGGCTACGATTTACTTCGTACCCTGCTAGTATAGAAATCCCACGACAACCCTCCCTCCGGGCATTTCGGAGTCGACAAAACTACGAAGATGTTACAGCGCAACTATTATTGGCCGAACATGGCCGACGACATGCGCAAGTACGTGTCCTCCTGCACCGCCTTCCAGATCATGAAATCCTCCCATCAGCGAGCAGCCGGACTACTACAGCCGTTGGATCCGCCCGAGCGACCCTGGCAACACATCACAATGGACTACGTGATAGGACTGCCAGCCGGTCCCAGCGGAAACGACGCCATCCTCGTGGTCGTTGACTGACTCACAAAAATGGCGCACTTCATCGCCTACCAACAGACACTAACAGCTGAGCAAACTGCCCAATTGTTCATCGCCAACGTCATTCGACTGCACGGACTGCGTACCGCAATTATTTCAGAACGAGACCCGAAATTCACATTGAATTTCTGGCGCCACTTGTGGGACCAGTTCGGCACCAAACTATAGTTTTCCTCCGCCTACCACCCACAGACCGACGGGCAGACCGAACGAGTCAACCAAACTATGGGGCAACTCGTTTGGACTACCTGTACTGACCCACTGACATGGGAGGAATCCCTTCCGCTGCTGGAATTCGCGTATAATAACGCGCCCTCCACCACAACCCATTAGTCCCCATTTTTCCTCAATAACGGACAGGACCCAGTGGTACCCTCTACTCCGAACATCAAGACACCCATGCCCCGGTCCCGGAAACTTGCTGAAGACATTCTCGCCGCCCGAGAAAAAGCAGCTGAGGCAATCAGGAAAGCCAACCTGGTCGCAAGCCGACAAGCCGATCGCCATCGACGTGACGTCACTTACAAAGTGGGAGATCTCGTCCTACTCGACACTCGCAATTTGCGGCTGCCGATCTCGAGCAAGCTCCGACCCAGATTCTGCGGGCCTTTTCAAGTGACAAATATGGTGACACCTGTCACTGCTCACCTCCGACTCCCGGCTGATTGGCGTCACCACCCAGCTTTCCACGTCAGCCTCGTACGGCCCTACGTCCCCAGTTCGTTGGAATTGGCACGCCAATGCGGTGTACCGGAGCTGATGCCCATGCAGGAACCGACGACCGAGCCCTTGAAAATTCCCGGCCATCGGGTTACGACGCAGCTGAACCGTCGGATGGTTGATTTTCTCGTCCGCTGGCGCGATCGTACGTCAGAAGATGACAGTTGGGTGCCACTTGCTGAGCTAGAATCACACCCGATTTTAACAGCGTATTATCAGTGTCAGAATGTTTTTCGATGCCCGCGGTCTCGTTTAGGAGGGGGGGGTAGTGCAAGGAATTTCCATTCCTTACTGAATCGTATGCTAGCACGTACACCCGAACTCCTCGACTCATCACGTTCGGCCTCATTTATCGGCCCAACTCTTTCCCGAGTCGCGTCCGGCACTGTCGCCACATTGCCGAACCTACCCACGTTCTGAGGTTATTGCCCTAGCATGCCAACCCCTATATAACCTTGTGCCTTCTTTGCAATAGCAACCTTGTATTCTCACGTTATAGTACATTGACACTTCCTATGTACATTAACACCAACTGTGTAATATTCATATTTGGCGAGCTGTAAAATGCTGCTCCGATGCCTGGTTGTCTTGAAACTCGTTGACCACCTGCACACCACAACAATATCGATTTGACCGAGTTGGAGCCACGTTGGATCACTGTAGACGAGGTTACATCCAAAATGGTGTACATGGGTGTTATACACAAATGTTTGTATCACACACTTCCAAGTCCTAAGCAAAAAAACAAGCGAGCTACATGTATTGTTGCCACACTCACAAACCTTCCCAATGACTCTAGAAATGTTAGGGGTTGCTGTAGATGCCTGAGTGCCGCTGCTCACAAAATTTCAGAACCTGAGCTGACCCGTAGGCTGAATGGGAGTTCTATGACCACTGGTAGAACATATTCCCGCCTTTTCAGAGAGTCATATGTAAACGAACTCGTCTGGGTGATTGTAGTGTGCAAGAATTATTTGTATAGCAGGGTGTTCATTAGCAATGCAACCAACATCCATAATCATAAAACTATTAACTGCATACCGATGAACAAACTTCCTTAAATGATATTTTTAAGTCTCATAGAAGTTAACGCCAACTTGTTTTCTCCCGGGCATGCCGTGACTCCATTCACACCCTAATGATGCAATGAATAAGGGTTGCGATTGTTGCATTTTTTAGGAGCTGTTTCATGAAATATTACTCCCACATAGCATACGCTAGTGGAAAGTCTTGATAACTTCAGTTTGGGGGGGAGGGGGGCGGGTGAGGACGACACTAATTAACCTGCTGTTGGAGGCAGGCTCCAATTTGGTTAGTGCGAACTTTTGCGTACTAGTAATTTGTTGGTTTAGGGTTAGGAATATTTGTTAGGTTGGGTGTAGCTTTTTCATCCCCAACCTATCCCAACCCAATCCATCCAAAATCCCCACGATTTGGGAGAATTCCCTTGGGATCCCCTCCGATTCTCCCTTATCCCCTCCAATCATCTCCAATGCCAGGTACTTAAGCATGTAATGCTCTTGCTCATTCTATCAATCAAGTTCTCATTTTCTGACATGGTATCAGAGCATCATTCCCGCCTATGCGGCTCATGATCCTCTCGCTCTCATGGAGCCTCGCTTGTGCATTCTTGTTCGCACAACCTCTGTCTTCGCCCTTATCGTCACACTCTTGGGTGCGTTTTTCTCTTCAGATCTAGTGATCGTGCTTTCCGGCTCTTATCACTAGATTTCTGCCCGGCGCCCCGCATCCACGCGCCACTTCGCCTCGGGCTGCCACCCGTCGCCCTGCATCTGCGCTTTGTACCTGATCGGGCTGTCGCCCGTCGCCCCTTCATCTGCTCGTCTAAGCCGAACGGGCCGTCGCTCGTTGCCCTGCATCTGCTCGTCGAAGCTGAACGGGCTGCTGCTCGTTGCTCTTGCAACGACAGGGGGGGGCAGCGGCGAAGCGGAAAGGGGGCAGTAACAAAGAGGAATGGGGGCAGCGGCAAAGTGGAAAGGGGGCAGCGGTGTAGCGGAAAGCGGGCAGCAGCGAAGCAACAAGGGGGGCTGCGGTGAAGCGGAACTGCAGTAAGCCGATTGCCATTTCTTGGCGTTTTTCAATCGATCAACTTTTCTTCCTAGATCCGTCGGTTTCACATTCCGAGCGTTGAAAATCCGCAGACCAAAATCCTGTTTTTCGCGGAGCCCGTGCTGCGCGCAACTTGTTTGGCGACTTAAGAGTTGTGCTACGCGACTTAAGAAAATCCTATTGGAGACTTCGGAGATGTGCGGCGCGAAGAGAAGGGGTTCTTGGAGCATCATGGCGTACCCCTCCACGTCTCTCTCGAATCCAATCGCTCCCTTGTGCCTTGACCCCAATGGCTCAAGCCCCAACTTAAAGGAGTGGAGCTATGGGGTTGACAAGCATCTCCGAAGCCGCAAGATTGAGGGGATTTGCCTCAAGGATGTCCTTCTCAATCGCAACAAAGGAAAGATGCCGGTCCTTCCCAACAAGCACTTGGCCAAGGCCACTGAGGAAGAAACCAAGGCACATGAGGAATATATGACCAAGTATGAGGAATCTTACAACGTGTGGGAGCAAGCCGATGCTGCCATCATCGGCGTCTTCGTCAGCACCACCCCCTCCAAGCTCGTAAAGACGTATCACCACTATGCGTATACACATGCCAATTGGGAGTATCTCAACGATCGCTTCCTCAACAAAACTGATGTGGGTGTAGCGATTCTCATCCCCCGCATGTTTCGAGCGCACCTAGAGGAGTGCACTGGAATGGAAAATTATGTCGCTGAGATTTAGGGGATTCACCAAGAGCTGAAGCAACTGGGCATTGTCTTCCCAAAGCAAGCCCCTGCAGCAGCTTTCCTTGTCGGGCTGACTCCTTCTTACAGTGTAACCCGTTCCAAATTCCTCCATCTCCCACATGACGAGCTAACCTTTGCCAAGGTCTCCTTTGCTCTTCTCTCTGCTGAAAAGGACAACACTGCGCATGCTCGAGCAAATGCGCTCCGCGCTTCTATCCCGGCTCTGGCCTCCCGTCCTAATGCACCACCAGTTCGTAATCGCTACCCACCTTATCCCTGTGTCATCAAGATGGGACCGCTTGTGGGCCAGGTATGCGGTGGCACCAAGCACCCACTCATTACCTACTTCAAGAAGAAGGATAACGAGTGGTTCGCCAAGAATGGGATCCATTCCAAGCTGCCCAACTAGCTTCGCATGCACCAGCTCAACTAGGTTGAAGCCCAGGATAGTCAAGACCCAACAGATGACAATCGTCATCCTGATGTTTGTCTCAACTTGTTGTTCCCTGGCATTCTTATGATCAATGAACCAGTTCCCAGTACTCAGTGCCTGAACATACACCATCCAGACGACTCGAATTAGTCATGGAAATTGGTGCAACCCATACAGTCCTCAGAGACAAAGAGTCCTTCAAACCATACCAAGCACCCATTTCTCTCCTAGGCACTGACTCCAGCTTCACCACAGTCGCCCATGGTTCTTTCACTCTTCCATGCCGAGCTTTCCCATCGGGCTCAGTCACTGGCAGCTGCGTGCCCACATACACTTCGGCACAATCTTCTCGCACAACACGAGACTCAACAAGTAGGGGTCACCACCATCTTCCCTGCTCATTCAAATCACTGTGATCTCCTTGATCCAACCACCAATGCCCTCCTTGCATGTTTCACTATGACGGCTAACAACCTCTAGACACTCCAAGTGCCCCCATCTCCCACTGAAGCACACTCTACTTCCACCACCTCATCATGCTCCTGCCGTCAGCTCACTGACCCGACCATACTTTACCACCAGTGGCTCGGACACCCCAACTTCTGAATGCTTTTCGAGCTTGCGTCCAACAAGTTGCTTCTTCACCTGCCCGAGTCCCTTCCTCCATCCTCCACTTCGCCCTCTGCTGCAGCCGTCCCACTTGACCTCGTCCACAAGGACGTTTGGGGCCCAGCTCCAGTGTTCTCCCATGATGAGCACTCTTACTTTTTAGTGCTCGTTGATAATCACTCCTGCTATGCGTCCGTCCACCTTCTCTCTTCCAAAGCATTTGTTCCGGATGCCGTCATTGCATGGGTTCGGCAAGCTCAAAACCATTTTTGCACAGCAGTGAAGTGCCTTCATTCCGATGGTGGTGTAGAATTTTGCAATCACACCCTTCGCACGTTGTGTGCCTCCAAAGGCATTTGCCAGGCTTCACTCTTCCGCACCGCAGCAGAATGGCATTGCCGAAAGTTGCATTCGCACACTTGTGCAAATCGGCCGATGTCT